AAATCATAGATATTTAATTAGTTGAATGAATAAAAGAAGCATATCATGCATGTATGATGTATATTATGATGCGTTAAAAATACTTAACTACTCTAAATATTATTTAGATTCAAATTTTATTTTATCTTTTAGTTTAATTCAATATTTTAATATCAAAATTATATCAAGGACACTAATATCTCAACTATCATATAATCTCATAAAATTAAAATAAAATCATTTTCTTTACATTTCAATATGTAATATATATATATATATATATATATATACAATTTGATAAATTAAAATAAAAATTAAATATTAAAATGAAATTACTTGACTAACATGAACTGAATTAGTATTGGTAATTTTTTGAAAATATTTAGATTCTTAACTTGAAGAACAGTAACGATTCACATAATATATATTAAAAGCATAATAAATTGGAATAAATAAACTAATATTTAAAAAATTTATTTAAATTATTATAAAAGTATATAAAGTTAAACAAATATTTTAAACAAACGCGCAATTAACCCAAAATTATCTTTATTTTAATTAAAATTTGTTTGGACTGTAATAAAATGTATATAATTTATTTACAATTACATGTAGTATTCAATTAAATTTTAATGTATAAAAAAGTCTTTTAATATTCTTTAGAAAATCTTAAGTTATTTAAGTTATTTAGTTTATTTCAGATCTCAATAGAATATAAAGATATTTACTTAATGTGTTATCATTATAGTTGTACTAAATTGTTATATTAGATATTTCACTTCTGCTTGGACCAAATTCCCTCGACCATTTTCCATATACAACTCAAATTTAAATTAATTTGGAACAAGTGAACGCACACATTCATACGAACTTTTTAACCTTATCTCAATGTTAAAACCTGTAACAGACTTTTTCCATTACTTGTAAGTATCTTTATCAGTATGTCATATGCATATAAAAATAACTAATTTTTCCCACGCATCAGAAAATTTATCAAACTTTTTTGGCTATCTCATTGTTTTAAAAATTGTTTTCAACGATGTTTAACGTTTTTAATTTATTAGTAGATTTATTTCAAACTTTTAAACAGAAAATTATTAAATTATTATTCTATTGGCTTATAAAGTGACTATTAATATCTTATTTTATACATAATTTAAAACTGTACAATTTTTAATGAAAAGTGAGAATGCGATTTGTATCGACATCCCATCAGATTTCAATAATCCCTCCTCTCTCAACCTTCGGACAAACAACTCTTTCAATTTAATATGATTAAATACAAATTTATCTAATAAAATAAAGAATATATTAAAGAATAATGAAGTTTATTCAATTATAAATTTTTATAAATATACTCTGGCAATATCATGTTATATAAAATTTTAAAATAAGTAATTTAATAATTCGATATAAGGTAGCTTCTTTAATCTTAATTTAATAATTATAACCAGTACATATATTTTATATTTGGTTCAAAATATTATAATGATTACAAATTAAATATTATTTGCAGAAAATAAATTAAATTTAATAAATTAATAGAAAATAGAAAATAAATTAAATTCAATTTAATAAATTATAATTAAAATAAAATCGACTTTAACTTCATCATCATTCATCAATAAGTTCAGAGATCAACAATTTTAGTTTGGAAAAAAATTTAGTGATGATGTACACTATTAAACTATGTACAAAATCCGATCGAGAAAACTTGTAATTTCTAAGTATTTTTGTTTAAACTAATTAAATAAATTTTGATGTAATTCAGTAATAAAATGAAAGATCTGAATAACTTGTACAAGTAGTTCATGAATATATAAAACCACACATCTACAACCGAGTGCAGTCAAATAAGATGTAGGATTATAAGATCTACAAACAACATTAAAAAAACTAAAATCTTGTCGAATATAGTATTATCAACAAAACCACGTAGCATGCAATTTATGGAATTAAACAAAGACAAATAACATTAAAAGAAAGAAGCGAAATTAGACAAATAATTTATGACCAATGTAATAAAACCCGAGAGGTTGCAATCAAGCAAAAAATAAAAAAATCGAAAACACTGTTGAAGAAAAATCTTACGATGTAGATGCATTCCAAGAATAAGTTAAAAACAAAAATACAATTGTATGATAATAATACATATAATATAATAATAACGGTATAATAATATTTCCATCAAACATAAGATAACCATTCCATATTAAATACTAAAAGATAGCTTATTGATAATAATCGAATTTAGTTGCGTAAATGTTATAATTGCGTATTTTAGAAAAATAATTAAAATATTAATGAACTAATTCTCACTTAACGAAGAATAAAGTATTAATGCTTAAAGTATCAAATTAACACTATATTCATGACCTTATATGATTTTATTAATATGTTAAAAACTATATTCATATTCCATCAATATATAGTTATTTATTCATGATAAATAGAAAATACAAAATCAAATATAATTACAAAAAATTTAGAATCTTTTCCAAACTTCATAAATAATTTATCGCAGCTGTACCAAAATTTAATTTGTATCTAGAAAATCATCATTGCATAGTCTAAATCGTACTTACGTTAAATTATTTAACATTTTTCAAACAGATTAAATATTCTATTAATAGCATAAACTACATAATTGAATGTTGTGTGTGTACGTATGTATATAGCATATTCATAAAACTAATGTAACATGTGGAAATAGTCGATCTATACTCGTTCACCTACGCTAGTTACATTTAAATGTCACTAGCTCAAAAGCGTGTCGATGAAATTATTTTCAAGATTAATGAAAGGCGAATATGCACGAAGGTGTATTAACTCAACATCGCACACATCAAAGCACATGAATCTATCAAAATCAGACCTGCTGAATCCCTGTATCTCTCTTGTCTCTCTTATGTACATGACCTCGAGTATATTCCTGTAAATGTAAGAAAACAGAATGAAAAAAATATAGCATCTTAAAGCAGATAGTAATGTATATCTCTAGTTTACTCTGAAAAAACTGATGATTCTAGCGTATTGAGTCGACGTTGCTGTTTCTTTGTGCACATTAATTTTGTTATAGACCTACTTATTAAACTCTTTCATGACAGAATATGCGTAATTACGCAATCATAAATCTATACTGTATAAACATATGTGGAAAGAAACATGACCCCAAAATAAAAACAAATAATTTTTAACTTAAAGGTGCTATACGAAAATGATTGATATTAAATAGTTTACCACGTAAACCTAGTGGTAATTTATTTATCATATTATTTCTTTTTAAAACATTTGTAATTCAGATTTATAATTTTACTTATTGAACCATCGTTGTATCATTAATTTATACATTTTAGATAATTTTTGTTGACATACAACATATTTAAATTATTAATACATAATGTTAAGGTTGAATTGTTAATGACTCATTTAATTAATATATGATTACCAATTTATTAATTTAATCTTATTAAGTATAGCAATTTATGTCAAATATATTCTGAAAATTACTTTCAAGTTACTTTTAACCATTTTATAATGCACAAAACAAATTTATTTATGGTTATTGCAAATGAGCCCTATTTTCAAATGAAGTTCCACAGTCTATCTCAAAAAGTACTGTAATAGTATTACATTACTGCTTACAAATTAATTTACTATCTTGATTAAAAATTATGAACTAAAACTGATAATTTAAAAAAAAATTTTTATTCGAACTATGATGGATAAAAAGATATATAGTTTGCTTTCATATTACATACATCATTGACCCCCAATAAGACCTTAGCGCATGCGACAAATGGATCCATCGCCGCATGTACTAGTCTACCTATAATCAATCCTTACGTATGAACTTTTATGTAAATAAATAATACTTAAGGCTAAATGGTTTCCAAAATAATAAAATTTATTTAATTTATATACAATATAAAAAGTATTATATATTTTATATTACATTTGATCCTAATTATAATACATTCTTTTGATTGTTAGAAATTTTAACTATGTAATTTATGAAAAATCAAAAATAAAAACGATATATTTTATTATTTATAATTTAGATTTAGTTGGATTATTTTACAAAATCCACTAATATATATTTAGACAATTATAAATTGGTATTATATTAACGATATTATTTTATATTAACATATAAAACAAATTATTAATTCTAATCATAAGATACATTATAAATATTATAACTTTCAGCACAATAAAAAAATTTAAACTAAATTAAATTGAAATTTATATCTCATTAATTACAAAAATAAAAATTTAGTATTACTATTAATTTTATAAATTAATTTATTAATATATAACTGAATTATTAAGCATTACTTTAGGAATATTAAACTATTATTTATTCATGATTATTTTATAATAAAAAAAAATCATTATTCATATTAAATTAGAGAAAATAAAAAATAATTTAGGCAATATGTAAGTCTGAAATAAATGATTTTAAACATTATCTTCTATTTTATTATAGTAGAATTTACAGATAATTATAATAAGAAAATTTTTTCGAGAAATATATATTAAAACAAACTGTTCTTGAAAAACTCCCAATTAATTATGAATAATATCATAATTTACAAACATATCTTAAATTAAACTAAAATTTAAAATTGTTTAATGGCAAACACATTTTTTGAGAAAATATTGAATAAATGGAATAACTTTATACTAATCATTTTATATAGACAGAAATATTTTTTAGTTATATAAATAAAAAAAAGTAATTTCTTTCTATCGAATTATTTATAATAATAACATAGTTTATTATAGTTGTAATATAATTATTATATAATAATTCAATCATAATTCTTCATATCTTATTAATATTACATTTGCAAAATTATATATGTATACACAAATATGGCAAAACATTCTTGAACTTTTATACTTTTAACTAATTTCTATCTAAATAAAATTAATACATGTATGATATATATATATGAAATATAATGTTATTCGTTATTAAATAAAGAATTTTAATATACCAATCACAAATTTTATACAATATAAAATTTGATAATATTTTTAGTAATTTCAGATATATATTTATTATTAAATAATTCAAAAGTCTGTTACACGACCCTTTCTCTCCCAATCTCCATATCGAGTTGGTTCAGGCCCTATAGGCCCATCAATTTCTCCTGTTACTGGATTAATATTATTTGGAAATGATTGTAAGGGTTCTCTTTCTTGATCCGGATGTTTCCCTTGATCATATACTTCTAATTTTTCTGCAATAATTATAAATAACGATTATTTTGCATTTTTAATATATTTTGTATAATAATTTAATAATATGCGGTTAATAAACATATAATTTAATAAATTATATAATATTTATACACAATTTCACACTACTGCTTTTACTTTTTATGAAAAACAGTTTTGTATAAAATTAACATAATTATAGACTAAAAATAAAATTTTGAAAAATATAATTATTATACAAACCAAATGGAACTTTTGCTCTAAATTTTTTCATTTGAGAAACGTTTGATTTTAAATCTTCTTGTATTATTTCGTCTGTGAATATAAATATATATTTTTACAATTATTAACATTCAAGTGTTATAGAATTAGATATTCGGTAAACAAAATTCAATATACAAACCAAATGGTAACTCTTCTTTGAGTTTTTTTCTAAATTCTTGTAATCGAGCACTTGCTTTGTCTTCATTTTTTTCTATTGATGAATAAAATCGAATGCTTCCTATATTATTAGAACATTTATAATTATAATTGTGGTTTTACAATGAAATATTATAATCATATTAAGTTTCTATTCATACACACTTATATATAGATATATATATATATATATACCATTATATGATTTACCAAAACTGCTGATACGTATTATTCTTAACATTTTTAATTATTTTTAAATTTATGAATTGGACTAACCTATTAAATGTAAAATTGAGGTTAAGTGCAAAAATATATCTAGGCGCTATATCTATTTGAATATTGTATATATTGTAATTATTACTATTAATAATTATAACATTTATATTTAGATAAAATTTTATAAAAAAAATTACGTGATTAAAAAAAAATTTTTCAATTTAATTCTATAGAAAAATGAAACAATTCCAATCAAATTAAGTATGATTTACTTTTCGAAATTCAATTTTAATTCTTTATAAATTATAAAAAATCCAAAAACTTAAAACGGTCATACATTTACGATGTAAGTAGTAATAATAAATATTACTGGTAAGTAGTAGTAATAAAGTAACAAGTAGCAATAATAAATAGTAATAATAAATAATAAATACAAAATACTGAAATATAATTTTTTATTGAAATGCTTAAAATTGATGTTTTAATTAAAACTTATCCATTTATACATTTATAATTAGTTACTTTGAGAAAATCTCAAAACTGTATTATTATATTACTATAAGTAATGATATAACCACATATTTAAAATAAATTAAATTGATCAATATTAAAGATCAAACAAAAATGTTTACAACTGATTAGGTAAAAATAATTTTGTTTAATTTTAGACGTTATTTATAAATATTCTCGTAATAATGATTAATTATTTACTTGATTATACAAAATTCTTTGAATAATAAAGGTGAAAAAAAATTAAAGTATATTTTATAATATTAATTACTAAAGTTTTTTATATTCCTAAATTTCATATTTCAAATATGAGTATGACCTGAAATACAATTTATTAATTAGTAAAAATAATAAAAAAGATAGTGAATTTTATTTCACTGAGCAACAAAAATCATAGACAAATAATTAATTTCAATTTGGTAAATAGAAATAAACAAGACATTTTATATAGATAATAAAAATGTATTTGCAAAGTATTAAAGAAAATTATCTAAATTAATAATAATGCAGACACTATTATCATTTGTATTATGTGTATGACTAATAGTAGCACTTCAATTCCATTTCTTGATTTTTGACATTGAAAACTGAATTAAATCCAGTTGTTAAAATATGGATAAACCCTGAGATGTGTATGCGATACTACTTAATTGTAAACTATAGACAGATCCATTAAAACCATAACACAATACAATAACTTAAAATCTTACATAAGAATATATAGTCATGTATATCTATATAAATTTTCATTTGTTTCATACTTCAAATCACACTTTATCTTTTCAATGCATATTCACACGATGGGAAAGATGAACGCAATTTACATGTATACAATAAATGAATATACATTTTTCTTAATTATTTAACACATATTGTAGTTATTTGCCATAATTAAAAGTTAAATTATGAATGAAAAATGAGACTGCTGATAAAAAATTTATAAACTAATTTTTGTTTCAAGCTGAGAAATCAAAAAAACCTAAAGTTTAATTACGTCAGTCTTTCTTTGCCATCTAAACTTAAGAGCCTACAATGGATTTAAATACATTGAGTGGCATTTAAAAAAAAATTGAAACATAAAATACTAATAAATTACAACCTATAGAGTCTTATTAATGGCTAAAACATCACGCATCATCATATTTCTCAATGTCCATAAGGCATTCACTACATTTCCATGATTACCTACACCATTACCTAACCACTCAGCAGGTAACTTTGTAACTTCAGGAATTGGTGTATTTTCAGAAGTGGCATTCATTTGCTTATCCCAATTAGATATGTACCGATTTTCGGTAGTTAATCCTTCAATATACCTATACATAAAATTTAATAAAATAATTTTAGTTGCTTTGTTTAAATATATTTTATCTATATTGTACATAAATTAACATAAAAAATTCAATAAGTTAAATTCAATATCTTAAAGATTAATTTATTATTCTGTTAAAAAAATATAATTAATAAAATTAAATTATGATTTCATAAGTTAAATAAAACTATTATTATAAAAACTATAAAAACTATTATTATATAAAATAATATTTTTAACATTTTAGTTTTAATGTACTGAAATTAATAGCAATATATAATTACACATAATAAATTTTATAATATATATATTTTATAATTTATTTTTACCTTAAATAGGCATCAGAATGTAATACACGACTTGGACGGGGAGGAACTGCAACAAATAGTGGTTCTGGTTGTTTAGTTGTAGGTACATTGTTTGTTTGTGTTGCTGCTGCTGACGTTTCTAATATAGTTCAAAGATTTATTTTTAATTACACATTAAATTAAAAATAAATAAAGACTAATAAAAAGTAATTAACCTGTTTCCATTGATGTTAATGTTGTTGATCCTTTTGCAGGTAAAAAATTCCTATAAAAATATTTATAATTAGGTCAAAGCTTTAAACATAATCTTTTATAATGTATGTTTAAGTTATGTACTTATTTCTGTCAGTTGGTGGAACTATTCGCCCATTTGATTTAAGTATATGAACTTCTTTGACATGTCTAGCAAGTCTTTGTACACTTGGAAATGGAGGCACAGATTTTTTCATTCTACCACAACCTCGCCATTGACATTGATACTCAATATCTATACATAATATTTTATACATTATGTTTTTTAACTATATATGTTTATAATTAATAATAATTATAAATTATTATTTTAAAATTTAACAATTATCTTTAAATTATAAACTAATATGATTGATTAACTTATATAAAATTATACTTTTATTACATTAATAACTATATAAAACTATAAAATAATTTTAACTTAATCAAAAGATAAGTTTAAAAATATTACCACTATTGGCATTAGCAAAAAAATTTTGAACATGGCCATTTTGTTCAGCTACACTATGTTCAATACAATCAGCCATGTCTTCAAATTGCCAATCACAATTTTCCCAACAACATTCATATACTAAATCCTGCATTGAACCAGTTGAAAGAGATCCTTTTATTTGTCCACCTTCCTCATTTAATTTATTCGCCCTTTCTTCCCAGACTGATTTTTCAATAGGTGGTAACTTTCGCCACTGAAATACAAACAAACATTTAAATAACATTTCTAAATTTTTTATGATAATGTAAAAATAAAACCATTAATATATATATTTTCTTATGTAAATATACTTGTACATCATTTTGTCTTAGAACATAAATATTTTTTAAGGTTTAAATATTTATGCTCAATAATAACGTTAAGGTACATAGTTAATTATTATTTATTAATTTTTATCAATAAATATAATATAATCAATAAAATTATGAAAAATACTTTTGTTTTATTAATTATGAATTATTCAATGCTCAAATGCTATTACTTAATGTATAAAATTAAAATTAAATTTTTTGATTTCATAAGTAATATTCTTTAATATCTTTTTAAAGGACTGTAAATACTAAAAATTCTTATAATACTTACAAATACTGCATAATTTGGAAATTTTTTTATTATATAATATTTGAAATATTATATAGTATCTCATTTTTAATTCAATAAAAGTTCGTAATACAAATATTAATGTAACTAAATCAAAATAAATATTTGTCACTAAATCAAGCTTCTATTAAAATTCGTCATAAATTTGATATACTTACATAAAAATATTGTAATAATTAACAAAACAACGCATAACAAATATATATATATATATATATATATATATATGTGTGTGTGTATATATCAATTAATTAAAATTAATTAAAAACTATAAAAAATAGATAAAAGGAAAATGAAAAATAAGAAGAAATAAAATGTATGATAAAAATAACTAAATATAACTAAATAAAAATAAATACCTCATTGCCAACCATTCTGCTAATTTCTCCAAAGGTCGAATCCGGATTGTTTTGCGTAACCGTCGTTCGCATTTTACTCGAATACAAAATATAGCCCGTAACTAATTTCTTACCCGGCGTTTTCTAAAAAAAAAACAGAAAAACATAAAATTACAATGTCTCTACCAAAGACAAAAAATGTGAGTGAGAAATAAGAAGAGAGAGAGAGAGAGAGAGAGAGAGCCGACGGCACACACCCTTAGAAAACTTTAAAAAAAAAACTAAACTTTATTTTTAATAGTGCAAAACGATAAAAAATAGTATGCTGGCATATTTCTGTAAAAAAATGCTGAAATAATGAAAGATAAACAAAATACATAAATAAAAATCAAAAGATTACAAGGTGAATGGTCGGTGGAGTGTGAATTTCAACGAGTCGAAAAAAAAAAGTATAAAAAAATAAGCGTAATGAAAAATGGTCACGATAAGGCCTACCTTTTTGGATGACACGGGTGTTTGGGTGTTGGAGAGCACCGGTTGAGCTTCCATGGAACCGACCGATGGTGGAGCATCCAAGCTGTCTTCACCCACTCCTACTCCCACTCCTAATCCCACTCCCATGCCTAGCACATCAGACTCCAGCTTCGGTAAGTATGGTGATGTATCCTAATACCATTTATGCTTTGTTACGTTATCTTATGTGCTACCGAGATTTTCGACAATTTTACTCTTCTTTTTCTTTATGGACTCTATATTTCTATTTTATTTTACTTAAATTTTCAAGACGATGCAAAGACCAAACATTATCAACTAAATTGTATACAAGAAGTATTTGTTTTGATTTATACAAGCCTTCATAAATTTAAAAAGAGAAAATATACAAAATATAATTATTTAAATAAATAATTTGCTAGCGAACTCGAAATTCAATTATCTCTGCAATACATTAAAATTTTTATAAATATTAATTTCAAATTATTAAAAATTCTTTTTACTGTTTATTCATTAAAAACTTTCTAAAAATAAATTATTAAACCATTAAGTCTTTGTAATAAATTATATAACAACCTAAATTATAAAAATAATTTTATAATTCATAATTATTAAAATAATTTCGGAATCATTTATTAAAAGCATTTTAAATATATAATTACTTTTGAACAACTACTGTTTAGAATTGGTTTCTATATTGTAATAAAGCTACAGTTAAAATTTGAAATACAATACAATTTTTTTTTGCAATTGAAGTATATCTGTTAGATTTTTTAAAAAAATTTGTTTATAATATTTGTAATTTACACAAAAATTCAAATGAATATTTAGCAATTAATGTTTAAGTATTATAGAATAAAATTAATCCAATAATTTAGATATATCATAGAAAGTATATGGTTCTATATTTATTTAACAAAGTAACAAATCAACTGTTAAAAAATAGAAGTTATGATTAAAATATGATTGATTTTGCTACGAATTATATACATATATATATATATATATATATATATATATATTCATTGCCATTTATTTTGTTAATTAAATAATTGAAATTATACTGAAATATAATATTATATTATAGTTTAATGTAATAATTGTCAATTACTTTGTTATTGAAAAATACTACTTCTAATGTCTGCTTACTTAGTCTGTAATTTAAAGGTAATTGTATCCCCTTGAAAATCAGTTTTATCTGCTTAAACCATTTCAAAACTAGCAAGTGCAATAGAAAACCGTCAGCTAGACGCAAAGCGACAGAAGTAAATTTTCGAATGTTATTAAGCCGAATTCACGTTTGTTCTAAAGCGATTCATTAATATATACAGAATATGAGATACAAGACATACATATATTTTAAAAGGTTGATCAAGTATATAAATTTGCAAATATATTTAAAGATTCAATGTAATAATATTATAAATGTCATACATAAAAAATATATAATATAAAAGGATAAATATATTAAAAATAAAATAGATTGATAGGAGAGAATTTTTTATTGTACTAATAATTAATTACTGCTTTAATGTATTAAATATTAAAATATTATTTTTGAAATAGTGTATAAAAAATAAAGAATTTTTTTAATGTAACAAATATTTGCATACAAATTTAATTTGAACTTAAATTGGAGCTTCACAATAGAAATATACAGTAATATTAAACCTATTTTTAATAAAATGTATAATATATTTCATGTATCTCAATTTTCTTTTACAATTTTAGAAAAAATAATAAAATGTGTCGATTAAAAAATTAGACTTAAATATATAACGAAATTTCTTATTGTTTACTGCGACATAGGAGCGAGTTTTCTAGGAGTTACTTTTTCATCACGTTCATACTCTTTTACACATTCTTCAAACTTGCAACAAACCCAACAGGTGCTCTGAATGTTTTAACCCTTTTTTGTACTTACTATCTAGTTTGTGATAACTTAGTATTGAAAGTAAAGATTAAATTTTTGTAATTAAAAAAAAAGAAGAAAAACGAAATAAACAAAACGTGAATATGCCGGCATAAGGTACGATACATGCATTATTCAAACTAATCCAGCTAGTTATATTTTTCATAAATTTTAGGCAGTTTTTGCAAAGGTACAATTAATAACTTGATTCAGTGATTCTATCCCAATATTCTGCTGCATTAGTGTGAATATTTATAATAAAAAACATGCAATAGCAACGTGTTAGTCACATATGATGAAAAAAAAAAAACAATATAAATTCTTAATTACCATTTCAAATTGACTTGCAGATGATGCAATAGATTTGCTTTGATTTTGTATTTGAGCCACATCACTAGGCACCTATAACAAGCATTTCATGCATCAAAATTAATCATATTGATTGAGTCTGTGCTTTAAAATTAAATGAACAAAAAATCCTTATTTTTTCATATATTATTATTTTTTTATATACCTTGGTAGGATTAATTGGCTTGCGAAAAAAGTAAATTTCATCTTCAGTCACTTGGTTAGAATGATTAAATTTTTTAAGTCCTTCAGCACTGAGTTTTCTTATTACATTTTTATTTTCATCAAACATAGATTCACAAATAAAAATATCATCTTCAGGTATTTCCGTTGGTCGACCTATTTAATTTAATTATGTTGCATACATAAATAATAAACAATCAATAAAAATTATTTAAGATCTAAACTTACTACAAATATATTCTCCATAATCAAGAACAGCACATTTTCCAACTATAGCAACAATAGGATGCATAGCATCAACAGTAGATAAAAACATTTCTTGCTTATAAAATAATTTTGTAGGTCCATGTGTGATATCAGTTGGAGCTAACAACCATGGTCCTCTAAAATAACACTTTCCACTGTACAAAAAAATAATTAGCAGTTATATAACCATTTGATTTTATAATTATACATACATTAATAATTCAAAAATGTATAAAACTTACTCTTTAGTTGACCATATCGAATCGATTTGAGCAATCTGTTGTCTACCGCCATCAGTTGCTACATAAACAAAGTCTCCCAATTTTACTGGTCCAATACATGTATTATATTGCTCATAATACATATTTTCTGTATCATCAGCATTAAAAAGTATTACATTCTAAAAATAATGTAATTATTATTTGCAACTTATATAATTATGAATAGGTGAAATGTACTAAAATAATTTAATCCAATTAAACAATAATAAAATAAAAATTAGATGTTTATGTTTCATTATAATAAATATTTTGGTTTCATTATTTTAACTTTATCTCTTATTATCCTTCTATTCTTAACTTACTGGTTTCTCTCTTTCTGTTGGTTTTTCTCCTTCTTCAAGCTCAGCAATTTCTTCTTTGTGTTTTTCTAATCTTTCTTTATACACAGAAATAACTCGTTTGGGTTCTAAAGGTTTTTCTCTTGGTATTAACTTCAAATGATCAGGATCAAAATTCCAAACTTTTATCTTTTTAAATGCCCGTGCCTTTGTTGAATATCTTGACTCACAAACATATACATCTTTTTCAGGAAAGCCATCTGGAATCATTCTAAAATAATCTTTAACGCTTAAAACACAACATCTCCCTGCTACTTTTGATAATGGAACAGCTACATGAGCATCACTTTTAAACAATTCCTTGTCCAAAAATTTTCTAGAAGCAACATGATAAGTTTCACTTGGACGATAAAAAAGATTGCCATAGAGCATCTGCTGACTTTCAGCATTTGTCCAAAGTCTTTCAATGAGTACAACACTTGTATCCATGCCACGTTCTGTTGGTTCAATATATGCAAAATCACCAGCTCTATATGTTTCTTGATTGAAGCTCATTGTACCACCACTGTCACTGTGTGTTACAATATTGCTTGAATCGCCCTCCTATAAATAAATTTTTATTCTCAATTAATATTTAAAAAAAATTATTAAACAAAAAAATTTAACTATATTGAAATACTTACTTTATCATTACCATCAGAACTTTCATCTTCATTTGATGAAGAAAGCTCTTGTTGAATTTTTATTCTTTTTAATTCTGCTACTTGATTAGCTAATTCAAGAAGAGTATAATTAAGCGCAGATGAATGTAACAAATCACCATTTTTAGTGACTTCATCTCTAGTTCGAAGAAAGAAAGCTTGAAGTTCAACACTATCCTCAAATGGCTGAGAATCAGTACGTGATAATTTTCTAGCTCTTTCTAAACAACCAAAAACATCTTCTTGAAAGCGATCCAGCCTTTTATATACTCCTTTGTCTAAACGTCGTTTTATCAAATCAAGTGACAATCCCCGAATCCTATTCAATAATTTAATTAATCTTATAATTTCATATCAATATTATCTAAAATTTTTTAAATATAAATTAAATATATTAATTTTGCTGTAATATTTATTTAATACTAAACATTATTTAAAAAATTTAATGACTTGCTTTACATAAAACATTTAACTATTATTCAGGAACTACATTAACTATATTCAGTATTAATTTTGCATTTAACATTAAATTAATTTTTTTAAGTTTTAAATTAATTTAATAAAGATATTTAAAACATAATTATTTTACAATAAATATAAAAAGTAAAACAACTAATTATTTTCTAATTGATATTATTCTGTATCGTTCAGATTTGGAAATACTATTCATTCAGTTATCAATTGAATATTTATAATTTATTATATACTTTTTTCCATCAATAATATCATGTTCAGGTAATTCAGCCATTGAATCCGAATAACAGCGCCCTTCTTCATCTTGATGATTATATAGGGCTGTGAATATTGTTGCTAATATTTCTTGAACAGCTGCTGTAACATCCGGAACACTTTCTTCATCTTCGCTAAGTTGTAATTTTGATTGTAATACTAATCTTTGTAATATCAACGCATCCTGAAATAAAATTTGAAGTATTTAGATAGACTCCTTATAAAATTCCTATCATTCAAGATTAATCGGTTAACATTAAAAATGGCTGCAATGAAGTTTTATTTTTAGAACATATGACTAATGAAGTCACAATATTAATACTCATAAATGCTTAAATGCCTGCCTCATTTTTCTTGCACTTCTTTCTCAAACGTTGATCAATATCTCTATCTCGTAATAACCGAATGGAGCATGGTTTAATAGGTTCCTTTTTATCGGGAGCTCCGACATTATCAACACAAACCATTTCCGAATCAGAACTTAACATCTTTAGCTAATGTAAGCTTTAGTATATTATGGTAGACAATGTAAAAGAGTACCAATTATTTAATTAATTGTTCATCATGGATGTAATAACAAAAATGAACTATTTATAATCTAATTGATTATGCGGAACGCTACTATTACATTAAAACATTTTAAATATAAAACACGAGACTTATAACACACGGGCACGTCGTAAAAACTATTCTCAAACAAGCATCTTATGAACTATCCAGACGTAACCTCAAAATGAAGGATCATAACAGTACAGTAGCCATTTCGTTTTTACACCGCGAAATTTAAATTTAAATTATTTTAGTTTTTATTATAGCTCCATATTTTCATAATTAATTACATTTCTTATATTTTTCGAAAAAATAATTAATACATATTTTATAGCTATCTAACTCAAAAACTTATTAGATTACATTAAAAAAATAAATATATATGCCATTATTCCAATTACTGTAGATGTTAAATATTGGTTTGCTATAATGCGAAACAAATTATTTAAATATCAATATAAAATTATGTTGATATTATATAAAAAATATTTCTTGTTTGAATTATGATTTAAAATTGTTACTATAAATATAATTCTACAAAATGTATAATTTATTAGTAATAACATCATAGATAAATTTTTTAATTTAATAAATTTTCAAAATATGGAGCTATGTTTATATAAAAGCTTTCGTTGATATGATTAATGTAAATATACATAAAGGATTCTTTAAATATATTTTTTTGTTAAAGCTATTTTAATTATGTATTTCATAAATTATTAAATTTTCGAATTCTTTTAAAAAATTTTTCAATTTATTAAAAACATTTTTATATATCGTTAATAAATCCTAGTTAAACTTAATATTCCAATTCTATCAAAACAATATTTTATGACTGAATGTGTATACATGTCAAATGGAGATATATTTATACTAAATCACTTTAAAATACTGTAATAGATTATTTATATTCAATATACACATAAATATATTGTTTTTTGTATTAATATAAATGTTTATCATAATTAAAATTCTTATTATTTTTAAATATATAATTATTTATAAATAAAAATAAAATAATTATTATAATGGGACATCAGACAGAATAAAAATAAACTGTAAATAATTATATCATTAACAAAATTTTTAAGTAAAACACTAAGAAAAATAGTACTTCATGTAAAAAGTATTTAAAAATTTATTATTTTTTTTTATATGTATATATAATATTAATATAAAATATATATGTATACAAATATTTATATATGCGTTATATATGAATTTATTGCAAATTTAATTTTTGTTCCTTTTATTTCTTTCTTTATTTCCTATATTATTTTTTTATTTACTATTTCTAATTTTCAAAAAAAATGTATTTTTAACTATGTAAGAAAAATTAAATTTTCATAAACATCTACAAATTAATAATTTTCTTGAGAATATTAATATGTAATTATCCATTTCATAATTATTATAGAATTATTTTAACTAAAATTTGTTTACTAGAGAGAGCTCGATTAATAATTCATATAAAAGCAAATTATTTAAAAGTAATATATACTTGTCCAATTTTTTTTCCACTCAATTTTATGAAACGTCTTTTTTCTATCTATCTATACTATCTTATTCACTTCCTTAATAATTGATTAATATGTGTATATTCATGTTATAAATAAGTATAGATCTGTTGTATAAAAAAGTGTATATAAAAATTTAATTAATAAATGTTAAAACATTTTCCCATTTAAAAATTAATAAATTTAATTGTTCTAACTCAAAAGCTTCAAATATTGTTTTTATAAAAATTATGTAATCTAAATTAATGATAATTAGTTATAATTTATTTTAATTGATTAATATTAATTGTATTATAATATAGAAAGCAAATATGTAGATTACTTACCTGTAATATACACGTATAAAGTAAATAAATTGAATATTTTAATTATCAGAATTACAATATTTCAGTCATAAAATTTTTTAATTAAATAAGAAGGTAATGCATTATACAAACCTTATAAATTTGTGAATCTGGTTCATTGTACTTGCAGGCATTGTCGAACATTAGTAATAAATCGGATACTAATTCATCAAGATTTTCATAGCCATTATTTTTTAAAATCGACGCAATTCTTTCCATATGTATAGGATGCTTAATAACTTCATAATAATCAGGATACTCTTTAATATTTGGTAATTTCATAAATATTAAAGATAATTGTCGATTTTTGGCGTCATGATAATCCTTGATTGTATCGTACATGGTACGCATTTTTTGTAAATGTAAAGGCACCACTTTTCTTGGTCTTCTATAATAATACAAACTAATAATATTTTTTTTAAATAATCGATAGCAAATTAAAAAAAATAAGCAACAAAGCTTTAATTATAGGTACTTGAAACTACGTACCCAACGTTTCTCGTAGGTGTACAACCCGTTAATTTATTTGATTTAACTGAATCTTGAAGAGGACCTAACTCTTTTATCTTATCCATTAATACTTTCTCTAAAGTCTTTGCATCATCATAAATTAATGATCCAACTTCATTATATTGACGACAATTTCTAAACATTAACTACAAAAAAATATTTTAATAATCATATATTCAAAATAATACTGCATAAAGCAAATTAACATTAAAATTGTAAATTTTTTTACTTTGAAATCCTGAATTAGTTCATTTTCATTATGATACTTCTCAGCTTTGATATTTGCCTCAATAGTTAACATATCTATTGGTTCTGAAATTACTTGATAGTAATCAGGATATAATTTTTTAGAAGGCTTTTCCATAAACATTAATATAGGCTGTCGTCCATCTTCTGTCTAAAATGTTTGTAAACTTAGGGTCATAATTATAATTTACAAAATATTTTAAATATAATCAATTATTTTAAAAATTAAATAATAAACGTACAATGTATTTTTCATAAAATTATATAATAGAATATTGATTAGCTATTTTTGCAAATATTTTTAAGTAATTAATGCAATTCAAGTAATCAAGTAATAATGCAAGTATTTCAAGTAATTAAAGGCAATAAACATAAATTCACAAAAATATACATAAAAATCTTTTCACAAAGTTAAAAATTTAAACATTAAAAATTATTTTATATTATTAATTTTATCAATAAAAATGTTTAAATAATAATTGGTTGTTATATAATATTTAATAATACTTACAATACATTCTATCACACATTTAACAAGCTTATGTAATCTCTTTTTTAACGGTATATTATCTTTATACTTCCCACGTGTTAAAAGATTTGAAGCTCTTTTTATAAGTTTAGGATGTGCATTATTATCAATTTCTTCTTCAGACTCTGACTCCTAGAGGTATATTAATTATAACATTAATTTAGTATTCAGCTCTGTTACACAATTTTTATAATTTATTATAAAATATCACATACCTGGTCATATTCTAATAATTCTTGAACTTTTTCTTGCATAACTTTTTGCAATTTAACTGCAAACTAAAATTTAAAAATTGTTTATATAATAAACAATAAAAAGTTTATGCAATAATTTTCATAAATTTGTTATTAACAAAGTGTTTTTAATTACCTTATATAATCTTGACGTATGAACATTATATTTTTTGGCATTTTCAAATACAAGATTCATATCAGTAGCCACTTCACTGACTGTACCATATTCACCTCTCTAAAATATAAGTAAAAATATATATTGATATTTTAATAATTGAATGCTTTAATTATTAAAAAGATTTTAAAGAATCAAATAATATTAAATAATACATACTTTAATTTTTTTGCGAATTTGTAGTAATGATATTGGATGTTTAATGGTCTTATAATAATCGGCATATAATTGTCTTGAAGGCAAAGTCCAAAAAAATTCACTCATTCTCAAACCTACGAAGTAAAAAAGGTATAAAAATAAAACCCAAATACAATAGTAGTCCAAAATAAAAGTATTACAAATGTATTAAATAAAACGTATGTAATAATATAATTAAAAAATTAAAAATTATACTTAAATTTTGATTCTTTATTACAGATAAATGCGAAATATTAATAAAAATGTTTTCAATATCAAAATTGCTTAACCAGTGAAAAATATTTAAATGTATTAAATATTAATATGAAATTATTTTCCAATGGAAGATTGAAAATAAAAATTTTAATTATTTTATCAAATTATATAAAAGTTTTAAAAATTCTCATAAAAGATAATTTATATTTTATTATTTATATTTTAGTCTGAAATTCATACACTGGAATATTATATTATTTTATAATAGTTAAATGTATCAATGCCTTCCTTGTCTTTGTTTTGTATTTTCAATAATTCATAATTCAGATCATTGTATATGCAACTTTACAAAACAAACTGTAAAATTAAAAAATACCTTGACTATTAGGTGCTGTCCTTATGGTTTGAAAAAGTTGCCATTGAGGATTATCACTTTCTTCGGTATCTAATGGATCTTCTTCTTCATCATCACTTTCTTCATCCTCATCTCGTAATGCAGCAGACTGTGCTATTAAAGCATGAGTCGATCTATTCCCACGTTTGCTTCTTGTAGATAATGCAGCAGACATTGATTTTAAAACTGGTCCAGCAACATCAATATTCTGTCTTTTAGCTGCTGCAGTAATTATTTTTTTTAATAACTTTGCATCCTTATAAATCCAAGATCCTGGTTCATTAAAATGACATGCATTACGGCACATGAGTAATAAATCCCTTTCCATTTCTGAAAGATTATTATATGCATTTTCTTGAATTTTGATAGCTATTGTTTTAAGATCAATAGGCTGTTCTATAACGTCATAATATTCTGGGTAAAGCTATAAATAAAAAAGTAGATATATACACATTTTTATGAAGATAAGATAATAAAATATTTAAAAAATAAATGTAAATTTTTATTCATATATAAATATGAATTCAACTGAATAAAACTAAAATTAAAAAAACAATTGTGTTGAGATGTGCATTTAAAAAATGTATCATTTAAATACAGAAATAAAAAAACTTATGAACATGAAATCATAGGAAAATTTATTTCTTAAAATACTAAATAAAATATATTGGCATTATATCATTTACCTTTTTTGAAGGTTTAAGAAGGAATGGAACATGGAGTGGTCTATTACTATCTGCAGGATCAGTTGCTAACATAACTGCGGCAAATAAATCTTCATAAATTTGTGTATCTTCATCAGGATTGGTAGAACTTTCAGATGTATCTTCTGTATCATCTTGACGAGTTGTAATTTTTTTAGCCTAATAAAGTAATTAGTTTTTATTTGTTCTAATAAGAATTTTTAGTATACTTACCAGTCGGCCAACCTTCAGAATCAATTTTCCTTTATTTGGCTCATCTTCATACTCCTCCATTATTCGATTTTTTGTGTTAACACAAAATTCCCAAAGTTCGGTTGCATCTTTATATTCTGGAGAAGTACGCTATAATATTTATAAATCACATAATTAGCAAATTAACTGTATTTTAATATAATAAATATTTTAATTTATATTTCAATTAATATTAAAAATAAATAAAAAATAATAACAGATACATAAATATAGTTACATATTAATTAAAACTATGGAAATAAGTTTATTATTTTTAAGATAACATATAAAATATAACTTACCATATAAAATGCTTTTGCATTATTAACCATTAACTGTATATCAGCAGCTAATTCATCCATGTCACGATATTCATCTGTTTTAAGTTTTTGTTGAACTTTTAAAAGGTCAATAGGATTTGTAACCACTTCATAATATCCTGGTTCTTGTCGTCTCTTTGGAACCCTTATAAAAGCATCACATAACAACGTACCATCTTCTTTTTTATGATTTCTCAATAAATCATATAACTGATGACACAAGTCACTCTAAATGCAAAAGAAACAAATTGATTAGAAAAATTTAAACAAATAATATATAAACAATTTTTAATATATAATAAAGCAGAACAACACTATGAACTATACAATTGTTATTCAAATTACATGGTTACTTTCATTTTATGATAATATTATAAATGTTTTATAATAAATTTTCATGAAAATATATTCTTTTAAATACTCAAATTTAAAAAATTAAAAATCGAAGTAGTTTTACTTATACTATTCAATTACAGTGTACATTTCAAGAGAGTTGATATAATGTAAAAATTTAAACATTTGATAAAAAAAACTCACTGGATCAAATTTTTTCCTTCTTTTTGTTGGTTCTGGTATTATATCATCGGGGTCGTCCTCAGTACCCCGACTGGCCACAGACGAGGTTCTCCTTCGCTTATTCATCTTCCTCAATCTACAACCACAAATGCACAACAGTCAGACGACATAACCATGCAATCTAAATGCCAACGAAAAAAAAGATTGAACAATAAACAACAAATACACTTATAGATGCACCAATCCGAGTAAAGAATGATTTAAAGGGGACAGTGGGAGTAAAACCGAAACTCGCGAGCCGGTCTACAGTGTTGTTATCTCTCGGCTTAAAAATTATCCTCCACAGCTATTGCGTTTTCTCAGCGATGGCACACTCGAATCTCCTTACGGATCACGGCGATACTTCCAAGAAGACCGAGCCAGCAAAATAACATCGCAGCCGCCGCCATCATAAAATGCTATACGCATACAGATGCATGCACATTCGTGGGGTGTAGCTGCGTGTGTGTGCGCACCAACCAGCCGCCACAGTCGCCAGATGCCTTCTTTTCTCATACATATATGCACAAGCACTTGAATCGACACTTTTAAACGCAACTGCAATATTTTATAAAGCTAAATAATTAAAATTACAATAACTTTGAGAAACTTTAATCATAAATCTGTTAAACAAACAATTGTTGATTAGCAAATTTGTAAATTTCAAAACAACCTTACACGGATCGTGGATAGAATGGTGAATATAAAGTACTTAGTTGCGAGAATAGATTATTGGGCGTAACCTCACAGTCTTAAATTTTACACGTACTGGATTCTTCAAAATAAAAAAAAATAAAAAAAAACTACCAGGAAAATGTCAAAATATCATTAATTTAACGAAGAAAATGTTTACCATAATACAACGCAAAACATATACGTAGACTCTTTATATTCAATTTTTCTATATCTCGCACACTCATGTTCTTTTACTTTTTACTTTCTTTTTATTTATTACTGTTTATCTTTTTATTCATTAATTTATTTTAATAATATATATATACATATATATATATATATATATATATATGTACACATAAATGTATATATATATATATATTGATTTAGAGCCTACTGCTGTACGCATATAATGCTATAGTACGTGTAAATAAAATACACATTGCAATATAATTCTATCTCGCTCTTAGGTGTGTAAACTCGGTCACGTGCAAAATCGCGGCTACTTCCATAGTTTCAGTCTGGCTCACCTTTTCAAATTCAAATTGCCTAACTTATTATCAATATGTATTAAATGTTCGTCAGCTTGTAATTATTATAAATTAAATCTCTCCACGCGGAGGACCGTATATTTATCTTTTCTCTTCATGTAACATTGACGATGACACACATTACGACCGCCATGCTCCGGTTAGCCGCCATGATGGATATCTCGAATCTATATATACAAGCAGACAATATACATGAATTAGAAACTCGATTCAACATGTCAATCTCGTCATGTGTTAAATAAGTGACCAAAGGCAGAAGATGCCTTCCTTTTTTAAATTAGAACTTCTAAATTATTTCATGGATTAAAAAGAATATTTTTTCTAATATTTCGAAGTGATTATAACATTTCGTACCTCATACTTAAAAAAAAAATGTATATTCGATAAAACTACAATTTGAACAAATCTTCATACAAGCACTAAAACTTTAATTTAAAAGGATTTTATTCGATCGCAGTAACGAAATCCATCAATATTACACTTATTTGTTTCAGTAATGTATTAATTATATGTGTTTAATTAAATAAATTTAGATTTTATTGATATATAAATAACTGTACAATCAAAAAATATATTCTCAAATTCAGTCAATTATCGAATTTTACGGTTATTGTAATTTGTTATTTAACAGAGTTTAATAGAATTTTTGAAAAGTTTAAAAATATATCAATGAATATTAATTTTACAAATATATATATATATATATCGGAGCTCAATTATCCTCTAATGTTAAACTTAGGATCGACATGCATTCTTTAATTTACGCGTGTTTTGCGATAAACCTTTACGCATCCTGTTTTCAATATTTGATGAAATGATAATAGCTGATATCTCACAATGTCTACAATTAAGTGTAATATTTGAAATTATTTTTCTATACAGCTTTATACACGAATTATAATATATTATAAATTTTGAAGACTATGTTCTTAATATTTATTTATTTTATCTTAAATGTTCAGGCATTTGAATGTAATTTAAAAATCGGTTGCACAAAAAACTTTTTTCTAGAAACTGATGACAATATATATATTTGTAATATATGGAGTACAAATTTCCAGCAAAAAATCATTAACCAAACTCATAGTGGATTAAAGACACAAATAGGTATACTAGTAATTTTTATAACAATGTTTCAAACTTATTATTATATGACTTGATAGGTATAAATATCATTTATTTTTATTAATATGTTAAAATATATTGCAGAAAATTTTTTATAAAAAAAAAATAAGATACCAAATGAAAATAAGGTAAATTATTTTGTTAAATATGTGTTTATTTTTTATTATATATGTTTGTAAAGAACTTTAAAGAATTTTATTATAATATAAATTATTGTCTAGAATAATTTTTGCAAAAAATACTTTGTCAGGGTCTATAAACAATTTGCAAATGAATTACAATATTTTAAAATATTTATTAAATATATTTTATAAGTTTTATAAAATATTTTCATAATTTAATGATTGTGTTACACTAATTTTTTATTTATAAATAATATATATTTTCATATCAATTTTTTTATATGTATTTATGTATATAAATTTATATATAATATCAAATGCAAAACTAGTATTGAAGTAGAAAATTATATCAAAAGTATGATATTCATAGAATATTTAATAACAGCTTACGCTGGAAAGCAAAGGTTAAGAAAGTTCAGAAAATTCAGAACAAAATAATGGATGACATAAAGACATAAAGGATAAAATTTAAACCAGAATTGACTCATGATCATAACACTCTTTATTAAAAAAAATTTATATATTTTAGTAGTATATATAACAAAGTTTAACAATATTCTGTTAAAATATATTGAAATATTTATATTCAATATATTAATATATAAAAATATATATTTTTTTTTTTTACTAATTGTAGCATTTGACAGTTTATTATATATTTAATATTGATTTACATTAACCAAATAATATATTTATTATTAAAAAATTTGTTTTTAATATTAATTATACAAATTCTAAAATATAGGCTAAAGGTTTATAATAAATTAATAAACTAAAATTATACTGATAAGCTTTTAACTTCCAATATTTATTACTATTTTCTGATGTAAAATATTACTTCAGCATTATACAATATTTTAAAACTATAAAAGTATGTGTTGCTTAAAAAATGAAACAAGATATTTAAATTTGAGTATAAATTTTCAATATTATAATTACACATTGATTTTATAAAAGTCATTCAGTTCAGAAGTTTTTCAGGTTTATAAAATCTTCGACACTTTTCATAATAAACTTTAGATGTTTGTTTTTTAATAACTTCCTCGATACTTAACTCTGATTGTAAAATTCCAGATTCCACTTGTGCCTTTCTGAGACTTTTTAAAATTGTAGAATCTATATTTCCATCGTCTCTTTGTTTTTTTAACTCTTCAATTCTGCCTTTAATTGTATATAAACACTTTTTAATGGCAATATCTCGCTGTGAGTGGACTGACTGTATTTGTTGAAATAAATCCTTACATGAATGGCTTGCGTTAACTTGAGTCTTAAATGACTCTGTTGGAATAGTAGTGTTAAGAACGTAAATAATCTTGTCATCTATTTGCCTCATTTGTTTTAATGTATTCTATAAAATTATAAATCTTAAATTATTTTGTACAAAAAAAGTTATATTTCAAACGGTTAAATTATTTAAATCACTTGATTAGATAATTTATACCTACATATAATAAAAACCGGTAAAAGGTAAATAAGGTTATGTTACTATTTTGATAATGATTAAAATAAAATTTGCAAAAACATTCAAGTTATTACATATATATTTCTTTCAAAAATCATCAAAAGAATTTATAAGTTAAATACTTATTTTCATACCTGAAATTCTAAAATGTCGCCACATTCCATACTTGATGTAAGTGCCATTTTCTGGAAAACTAAAACAAGAACTAAGGAAAATATTAGACTTGACAAACAAAGAACTTTTCGTTTTCATATCTTACCATTTATTTTTAATTTGAATACATGATTAAGAACTAAATATGAAATGTATAAGGCGATAAATGAACAATTACTATGTTATTTAATTAAAGTACAAAATTTATTCATATCTTTTATAGAAAAAATAGATGATGTTGAATTGAATTTTAGACCAATTATCTTTTAGTTTTTTATTATTTCTAATGTTTTTTCGTTATTCAAAATTGTTCTTGATAAAATTAATTTTTTAAATATAAACATTATATATATATATATATATATATATATATATATATGTCATTGTACAATATTATATAATATTTAAAAATTATTTAAAATAAAAAATGTACATTAACTATGAAAATCTTTTAATTAAAGAAGTATATTTTTCTTTCGTTTTGGAACCTCCTATTCATTATTCAATCAAACTGAAATATTGATATTGACAATTGGAAAAGAAATAACATGTTCAATATTTTTTAATAACTCAACGAATTTAGTTATATAAAATGAAATGAAAAGAAATTTATTTAACAGAAATATGTCAAATACCTTAATATAAACGAAATTTCGTTCATAATGCTTTTAAATCATTTAATACTTATGATCAATAAAGAAAGAAAATAATTGTAATAATTATTACATCCATATCCAACATTTGCTTTCTAATTTACTCTAACTGTATTAAGATCCTTGTTTTATTATACTATTGTTAAAATTTTGCAGGATTCATAATATTCACGAATTGTATCTTAAAATATTGAAAATTAATATAATTGATTCTTAAAATTTATAAATTCATACACAGAATTTGAAATAAATAGATATTCTTCTTTTATGTCATTAAACAATCTAAATCAAACAATTTATAATTTTATTATAAATATACATGTTTAATATAATTGATTTAATACTTTATGCATATATTTCTATCTATATCCATATTTATTGTACAATAATACTTATAAATATTTAAATTATTTAACATATTAGAATTAATTAATTCAGTATAAATAAATACTTTCCGTTGATTAGTATTATATTTATAATAGATTAATTCTTTTAATTAATATTATTACTAATCTTATTTAAGAAACGAGTAAAAAGAATTCGTTTTATTTAAAAAATTGCATATAGAAAGAAATGCCAATAATAATTAAAAAAATTTTATAACAGGATAAAAATAATTTAAGTTTCAGTACTTTTAAATTTATATACCCAGGCGATGAAATGAAAGTTTTGTTAGTTTGCTCATGCGCAATATTTATATATGCAATTAGAGGTTAAAACAATTTTTTATTAAAACAAATGTTTAGCTATTTATAATAATTAATGATAAAGAAAATTGAATTTGATATTTTTTTAGCTTCGAAAATAAAAAATATTTATACTTAAAAATTACATATTTTATATATTTTTGAAAAAACTAAATAAAATCGTTGGCTTTTAGTATCTAAATAATAAGAATAGATCAATATTGTTATTTTCATTTTGTTTCAGTTAATTTAAAATTAATTTGTCTAATCTACAAATACTTAAAGTACTCTATATCTAACGATATAATATTCGAAATGGCAGTTACATTCAGTGACATAAGCGCTACTATGTGGTATTATAGGACAATTAAGTGTAGGTTATTCTATATCGATTATATATTGTTTTCTATTTAATTTTTATCTAGGTTTACATAACAGTAGAGTATAGATTAGTCCTTGTATTATTTTTATAATAATTAACTAAAAATGTTTTTTCATATAACTGCAAAATGAAATTTGCGTGTGTACTTGATAAAAGGTGAAGGTTCGATTAGAATTAACATATGTTCTTGTGCAAACATTTGTTCAAACATAAAGAAAGAGAGGAGGTTAAAAGAAACTTTTCATAGTTTTTTTTTTATCAAAAGTCAACAACCAATCGAATTGCAGAATTTTGAGAATTGTTGCAGTTGTGCCGTGAAAAGATAAAACATTGTACTCAAGGAAACAACTTATTTTATTTCCTCTGTATTTGCAACGCCAGCTGTCCATTATGATTCTGAATTTATAAATTTTTTATTATTCTATTATTCATGAGTAAGTTTAAACAAATATAGTATCCATAACTATAGTGTATAAGTCTTAGATATTATAAATCTTTAGACAACATATTTTTGTATTAATTGTCATCAGCTATATTTAAAATTTTCATAATTTATGATCACTATTAGAAATATATTTTCTAAATTATAATATTGTAATTTTTTTATAAATTAAATTTTATAATAGAACGATAAAAAGTATGTGTTAATTTTTAGGTCTTATGTAAATAGTTGATTTTTGTATTTTCATACTTTAATATTTTTATTTTGCAATTTTATGTTACATATTTATATATCAGAAATTTAATAAATTTAAAAACAAATTTTTATTAATTAATTAGCTAAAATATGATATAATTCCAATTTTTATTGATATAATTTTGATAAATATTTACCATTACAAATAAAGTAATCTTTATTAAAATTAAAAAAATTAATTTTTTTAATAAATTAATAAATAAAAGGTATAAATTTAATATTATATTCATACTATTTATTTTTTGTAAATATTCATCAATTATTCTGATTATGGAGAATTTATGAAAAATGTATAGAATATTTTTTTTTAATTCCACAATTTTGATTTATTAATTTTTTATTATTTTAAAGATTAATGATTCTAATTTAATTTATTTTACGTTACTATACAATTATATTTTAAAGATTTAAATACATATTTTAATTTTTTAAATATTAATTTTTTAATTAAAGAATTCCTGAAATTAATTAATATTAAATGAATTTATGGAAAGAAAATTTAAAAGAAAAATTACGTTATTTCTAAGAAATATTGATTCTTTCTTCATTCTTTAATAAATCATAAAGTGAATAATTTATATTAAAATCTTAATAAAGAAAATCGCCTATTATTGTATTAATGTTATACTGACATAGAAAAGTTACATAATTTATAAAAACTGCAATAGAATTAACAATCTGTATCAATCTTCACAACTTAAAGCCTTTGTGTTTTACTGGTATGTGTTTATTAATATTACTATTTATGTTTATGCATAGTTACATGCAATATACAATTGCATACAATATTTTATGAAATAAATTTTCATTCAAATACACAAGTAATTTTCAAACATACGATAAATTGCGATTTTAAAAATTTCTTAACACTTCGAATTATGATATGTAAGGATAATTTTATAGTAATATTTAATATAATTTTTTGTTTTATCCCTCTTTAATTTATTACAGACAAATATATGTCTCATAATTTGTAATTATTTATCAATTTAAATTTTAGTTTCTTAGTATTACTTTCATTTGAATGTTCTTAAATGTCCTAAAATTATTTCCCAATAAACATTATTTATTATCAAATTATGTTTATTATAAAACTTTTTATGCTAAAACATTTTTAATCACTATATTTCTTAAAAGAATAGTATATTATAATTTCTTAACTATATTATAATTAGATACAATAAAAAGACTTAGCTTCTTAAAATATTAGAAATATTTTGAAATTAAAATATTATATGAATAATATATTATTGCCAAATAAATTTCTTTTGTTCAGCTTTGACAAGCATTTTCGTTTATTTAATATTTAACGAAAGGAAATATAACTGTTTTAATTCTTAACTTTAAGAAAATAATTATAGTAAAATAAATAATTTAAAAATAATTACCTTATTACAAGGTAACATTTTCTATTTCATTGTCTTCAATAATTAATAAAAACAATATAATAAAGATACTTCTTTATATACATTTTTAGTGTAGGGTGAAAAGAATAAAGAGATTTGTTCTTATGAAAAATCTTCGATTCATATTTCAATCTAGAAAACATTAAATATTTTAAATCTCTTTCATCCATGTTTTAGATCTTTAATTGCATCATACATAAAATTATGATTTTTACTTAATTATTAATTATTAGTTTTTTTTTATTAATACTTTTATTAATATTTTATTAATTATTTCATTACTTATTACTTTCATTTTTCAACATATATAATAAATTATAAATATCAGTTAAACATTTTATAGCTGTGAAATTGAAATTTTTTGAAATCGTATGCATTTTCTTAGGATATATTAGCTTTAATCAATATAATATGTTAAATGTATGCTAATTTATAATTAAATTTTATTGTGATTGAATAGAATAGTTGACTATATTTATAATTTAACAATTTATTTTGAATGCAATATAATTTTTCCAATAGTATTTATATTGTGTATTACATAATGTTATTAGTCAGTTGTTTTCAAAGCAATATATCATATTTTTTTATCCAACTATTATAGTTACTTTGATATTTTAACAAAAATTAATCAAAAACCATTATTGTTTTATACATTATCCATAAATGTTAAATATGAATAATTACTTCTTAATTTTTAAATATTTTACAAATTCTAACCTTTATCAAATACAAAAAATAAATATAATCGAAATGTAATTCTGCTTTTTTAAGCGAAGAGATTGTAAAATCATGACCATTATTCAGAAGGCCGATTTATACAGTGAACCAATAATCCTGATTGAGAACGGGTAAGATTTATTGTTTAAGCTTCTATTTCTTATTTGTTTTATTTCTATAAATAATATTTTCTTTAATTGTTATTATAAAAAGTTTCAACCTGATAATAATTAAAATTATTATGCATAAATATAGAAGAGATTTAAATATTAATTTCATAAACCAGTTGAATTATTAGCATAATAAAAATATATATGAAAATATTAATAATTTTTAAAAATAAATGTAATATTTAAAATCATATTTTTATTTCAACGACTTTTTTTCAAAAACTTCTTCACTCTAATAAAAACATGTATTTAATAAACAAGATTTTAATTTTTAATGATATAAATAATTTTGTTTTATATTAATATTGACATTCACATTTAATTAATTTAATGCTTTCAACGAAATTAATATAAAAAGAAATTTTAGATATTATAATAACTTCGTTGAGTTTCAAATTTTTAATCGAACTTCAAAATAAATTGATATAGTGTCGAAGGTTCCTTCTTTGCAAAAGTACATAAATACATGTAAGATAATTACTTTTATATGGTGTTTCGATGGTTTAATTCATTTTTCTTTGATAAAATATTTTAATAAAATTATGTGACATTATATTTAACAGACTATATTCCTTTAGCACTTTCGAATGTATTTCAAATTTTTAATAAATTTAGTATATTTGATATTTTATCTTAATTAAATTTATAGAAGTAATTCATTATATTTTTTAACATACTATTAAATATTCTTTAATCTAAAGCACATAAGTAATTTAATTATTGAAATTTAAATATACTTTCATTCAAATGTGAAACAAACTTGGAATATATTGACAAAATAATTTTATTAACTAAAAATTATTCTATTTAATACTAATTATTCCATGAATGTTAGAAGAGTGCAGTGTAGCTTAATTGCTTTAAAAATAGTGTATAAAACTTTAAATTGATATATCATAGATAATAAACTATTATCTGTAAAATAGAAATATTACGTATAGGATTCTTATTTTCTGTAAGTGATTTTTCAAATATCTTGAATTTAAAATCATAAGACTTAAAATGTTTAATACTTCATATAAAAGTAGTTATAATTATATTAATTATTATTATTGTCGTCGTCGTCGTAGTTGTTGTTGTTATACAATTAAATTATAAACGAAATCAGTTATTATATTAAAATCATTTGTATTTTGGAATAAAAATATATAAAAATTTATTTCAATTTATGTAATGGAATAAAGTATTAATAAATATTAAATCAAATAACTAACTTTTTCAATTGTTCTTAAACATTTATGAACACGTTAAGTTCATTTATGTACGAGTTCTCGTAATGATTTTAAATTTTATTTTCAAATCTGTTGTTATTTTTAAATATTATTTCATTAGGGATTTGTAAAACAATTCTTTTAAAATCAATACTGACGAAAAATAATTTTATTAATATAAATATGTTAAATAATTCCATTAAATAATAACAGGTCTATCCATATATTTTGTGTATAAAATAAGTTTTATAAATTATAATGAAAATTATAATTTTATGAAACAATTTTGATAAAAATCTGCTTAAAATCGTGATTTTATAGCATTTATGCATATAAATTTTTGTTTATACCAGAACATCGGTAAGTTAAATGTTTTATTTCATCACTGATTACAAAAACTGTTTTTGTATTAGTTTTTCTTTCAATCGATTTGGTTTTTAACTTATCAGCGACAGATCAGAAAACAACTCAATCTGTATTCAAATTTTTTATTTTAATTATAGTTTTGCAATAGGTAATTAATAGAGTCACTCAATAAATACATGATCATGAAGTATGTACTATTAAACCTTCTAATACCTATTTGTTGTTTTAGATTCATATATTTTTTAAAAAGGTTTTGTAATTTTTAAACTTCACACATAATCAAATTTTCACGTATCGCATTTCTAGGTCTAATACCAAAAAAATATAATTATTTCCAATAGGAAACTATTTCAGTAAATATTGTAATACAATGAGCTGATTATAACATTATTCTTTCGGTAGTTATAATACGAATAATTTTCATATTGGTTTATTATTATATAAATATTTAATCACTTTAAGTATTTTATCATTTTTATTCACTTTCATGTATATTATTCCAGATATATTAAAATTAATTTATATAATTATAATAAATATCATAATTATATATCATATAATTATAAAAATAATCATTTATAGATAATTGAACGATAATATATAATATATATATACTTATTTATTATCAATATAAACTTCAATGTTTAAAAAAAGAGAGAATGAGATATATCCTAAGTAAATTATATTAAAATAAAATAATGCTTAAGGTGAATAGATAACTATTGTAACGTGTAAAAATTTATGGAAGTTACAACAATTTATTGAAGTAGCATAAAATAATATATTGAAAAATTAAAATATTATTTTATTAATACATACTAAGATGCTATACAAAATTTATAAGAAACCACTGTTAAACCTATCGATATTGAAAAATAACTAGTTTAAATGTTTTGGATATAAATGGAAAACAGTACTGATTAAAGAAAAAATTAAAAAATTAATTGTAATGAATAATTCTTCATTGACTAATGTAAAAAGTATTACTACTTGGCTTCAGTCGAACTGATAATGAAATCATTAATTATAACATGAAATCATTAAAAATCACTCGTAAACATTATAAGCCAATTTTCATAAAATACGCATAAAACTAAATAAAATCTTAAAAATCTTTATATTACACAATTATAAGCAAATTATATTTAAAGTGTAAAATAAAATAGAAGTAGCCAGACTGACTATCGTATATTGTACATAAGTAATTAATGATGAGAAAAAATCTTGCGTAATTATTCGATTGCAACTTTGGAGAATAATAATATCCCTTCGTTTTGTCATCAAAGTCAGAATGCTTAGATAACAGGAAAGACATTCAAATAAAGGAAACTAAAATCATCAGTAGTATGGATGGCGCGTGCAATTACCAAACAAAATACTACATAAAAAAAATAGTAAAAAAACAACAAAGATGCAACAATGAAACTCGTTCACGCATCTCCCCACCATTAACGCATGCGCGCATATGCGCTGGATGATGCACCAAAGAAAAAGCGAATGGTACGAAAGAGAAGCCGCCTCCGCTGACGGTCAACGGTGACGACCGATGATGTCTTTGTCACAACATTCGTTAATCGTAGTCGTAGGTTGTATCTGCAGTTGCTGGCCTTTTCCAAGCAAAGCACTCAGTCCGTCTTGAATCGCGGAATCGTGAGTATCGCTGCTATAGCTGTTCTCAAACCATACGGTTTGGAGGACGAATTGAATAGTCGACAACACAGTTGTCGGTCATTGTTCGGGAATTCGATCACACGCGATACGTCGATGATTCAAATACGATCAATGCGACGCGTGCGATAAGTATGGTGCTCAAGTAATTTATGATAAACTATAGGTTTGAACATTAAAAAGAGGTGAGAAGTTATTTATTGGTAAGCTACTGAAGAAAGTTAAGTTGTTTCAAGTACTGATTATGTAAAGCTAGATTAGCTAAAATGATGAATAATATTAGAATGACATTGCAATAATGCTATCGATGATTTTTTCGCGATGAGAATATATACGACATTAAAGTGTAAGTTAAAGTTCAACGAGTGCGCGTCATATTATTAAATGGTTTGATTGAATTTCTGAGATTATTTAAATAAATATAAATTGCTTTAACAAATACAAAATAAAAAAGTTAATATATAAATTTAAAATTTTGTTTTCGAGGAAGACAAAAGACAAAATTTTGATTATAATTTTAATTTCAGAATTATATTCAATTCATCAAGAATATATAATAATTATCCTCACAATACCATCATTTGTGCTAATTATGCATTAATAAATTGGTAAAAAATATGCTAATTTTAATTTAATTGTCGTTATCGATGGAGATTATATTGTTTTGTTATATTATTAAAATAACGAAAATGATTGAATTCCTGAAAAACGAAAATCAACGGTAAAAAAATGATGCAACAAATTTAATGAATTTTAAATAAATTAATCCAATAGATATTATATACACTTAGCATCTTTAACTTATCATTTAATTTATTATATTTATAACGTAATTGCTTTAAGTATATACGTTTAATTATCAATTAATAAATACTTGTATACTTATTTTATTTCTTAAAAGCTATTATCTAATAACAATTTTTTTTTTTAAATAATTAAAATTAATTATATATATTTAATTAAGTTATTGAATATGTTTCATTCAATAATTTTTTTAAAAAGTATGAAAATTCTTATACAATTTTTTCATATTACGAAATCAAAGTTTTGATTACTAATTAAATAATGCAAGGGAAAGAAAATTTAAAACATTGTTTTGGGATAATCCTTTCAATTCGTTATTGATTTGTAATTTTATTTTATTTACACAATTTGGCGTTATTTTGTGAATGTAATCTACATATATAGATAGAAAGATTATCGCACAATTAATTTATTTGCAAAGAATAAGTCTCACGTTCTTTCAATCTTATCATACGTTAAATAGTATTTATCTGTTATTCTTATATCAACAAAGCAACCAGAATAAAATTCTTTTTCAAATGTTATAAATGTAATTTTTAAAAAAATATAATTTCCTGATACCAAGTAATTATTTGATATTCTCAATAAATAGTGTTTTTAATTAATATTATAGAAACACCAAAACTAGTTCTGTATATGCATTTTTAATCATTCATATTAATGCAATATATTATTGTAATATTTATATACTGTAGTGTCTCGATATAATAAAAATAGATATTCCTAACTTCTTTTTTTTTTGTATAAAATAAAATTGTATGTTATTTAATTTATGATAAATTTTAAGATAAATAAATTAATTGGCTATTCTATGATTAAAAATATTCAAAATATCAATTTTACAGGCAAATGCTGTAATTTTTCAGAAGATAAAATACATATAAAATTAAAGTAAGAAGAGAATCTTCAATATACTACAATCGTACATCACAGAAAAGCAACGAAATTTGATATTGAAAAACTTACGGTGCTAATTATTTACAATGAAGCTAGAAGGAAACAGTTCCCACGAGGATGATAGCAATGGAATTTTATTACAATCTAGAAAAAATTCGGCCGTTCGTCTGCAAATTGTTCCTGCTAAGCCAAAAACTATCACGCATTTGCCGAAGAGACCACCAGTTGATCTAGCATTTTCTGATTTGACTTATAAAGTACGAGAGGGCCGAAAAAGTAGTGAGTACATACATATTAACATTATATGAAATTTGTCACTTACAGCATAAAAATAATAAATAAAGAATATTATCCTGTAATAACACTAATCTTACAAATATAAATTAAAAAGGCGAATGTTATAATATTCAAATTGGAAGTTTTTAAAACACAATTCTTCAAATAAAATAATGTAATATATATTAGGTGTTACAAAAAGAAACAAAAATAATAAACAAAACGAAATGTATAATTAAACAAAATTTCTGAAAAAATATTTTTATAAATTTTAAGATTAATTAAATTTGCTTCACATAGAAATATGGATTGTACACAAGATATCGTATTATATATTTAATAAAAAAAAATAGCATACTATTTATTAATCTAATGATTTTAACACACTTTCTATAAAAGTATAGGTGAATATCCTACACATTGAAAGTACTACATTTAAAATAATCGAGATATCTTATTGAATAGAATAAATTAATTTGAATTAATTGCTATGTTGATTTGCTCTAATATTTGATATTTAATTCAAACGTTCTAATTATTTTTGACTAGAATATTTTTATAATTAGTAAATATTATTATTTAATAATTATGAAAATTGAAAATAATAATTTCTTTATTATCTTTTATAAATTACGGAATTTCTGATTCATTGGCGATAGACTGAAAATGTAATTTAATAAAGCTACATATTATATATAATTATATAATATAATTCTTTTGTCACAACCAACAATTTAGGTCTAATCAATTTTAATTGTTTTTAAAATACATTAAGGTATCTCATGTGTTTGAGACTTTTAATATTGGGAGAATTTAAATATGCTTTAACTAAATAAATATTTTTGATTAATAATGTAAAAATATTGAATAAAATAAAGAAGATAATTTGATACTTAATACCAAAGCACTCCTATAATTACTATCAAAGATACATAGTATGTCTATTTGTGATAAAAACAAAACTATTGATTAAAGCATATAATTTAAGCAATTAATAAATTTACGATTTACACGATTGAACTATTGTTTTATTAAGAGATTGATGAATTTTCAAAGACATTTAATGTTAAATATCTTATATAATGAAAAGATCGAATAACAGCATGAATAATAATAATAATTATAATAATGAATAATAATTATAATAATGAATAATAATTATAATAATGAATAATAATTCACTAACATTTAAATGGTATAGGATACATAAAATCGTTAAATTTGTTAGAATAACTAGAATCATTATCATACAGAAATTAAAATATTATAACGTTGAATAATTATCAAATATTTTATTAATTTTACATGAAAATTAATTATTTTATGATTGAGCACAAAAAAAAATAAAAAATGAACCAAATATTTCTTTAAAACTATAAATATTATTTTATTATGGATGAAAATTATCAGTAGTTATACATAAGACAATAAGAAAATATCTTTTTTAATAAAGCATGTTTATTATATTCCTAATATTTTAAAATATAAATTATAAATGCAATTATTATGCAATAGTTATGCACTATTATTAGTTTAATTTTCTCTAGATCCTATAAATCCATGCGTTATAAATTATTTTTAAATTTTCATTTTAAATTAAAAATTATATACGCTTATATTCATTAAATAAAAATCGTTGTTTCAAGAATTATTTATTTTATTTTATTGAAAATCTGTAACTTTATAAGAACACACGTTTCAAAATAATCACATAAGCAGATAGTATACTATTTAAGTTACGAAATACTAAAGAATAAATAGCAGTTGCATTTTCAATTTTTAATCTTTATGAACATTTATTATTTGCATAACATCCTATCATACGTAATTTTAAATAGGCGCAAGCAGTAGTAAATTTGATGGTTGTTTCGTTTTTTGTGAATAATGAATTAACAGATTTTCATTGTACAAATGTATAGATAATAAAATTGTATGACAAAATTGTAAGTTTGTTCATTATAACTATATAAATCACATATTCTATGGCAGAATTTGAATAAAAATTTTCTTACGTGTATGCTTAATGATAGACTATTTGTTGTATAACCAGAACATACTTTAGAAATCAATAATATTAAATATTGTAACATATAAGTTTAAATGCGGTCATATTTATTTTATATATGATTTATCAATGAAATATAAATACGTTTAGATTATGTTTTCTTGTTTTGTTACCTTTTAAAATATTTAACTGTTTTTTGAATTCGTAACAACTTATGTGTTTTTTTATAATTTGTTTTGTTAACTTATAATAAAGTTGATATCAATAAATACATATACATAATGTTTTAAAATATATTCAATTACATGCGGTCGATATATATGTATGTATGTAATTAAATATATGTTTACTACTAATCGCATGTAACAATAATATTTTAAAATACGAATAGAATTGTTTCTTATAATCAACAAAAATAATAAATTCAGTGTATTAAAAATATTGAATTTAATATTCAAAAAATATTAAAAATATATATTTGAAAATATAAATGTAATATATGTATGCATTTCTATGTAATTATCAATTTATAATGGAAAATAACAAGATAAATAATTTAGAAGGAAAAATATCTTATTAATATGATAAGATTATTTGATCAAATTGATTTAAAAAATATTTTAACTACCAAAAAAATAAAATAACTTTAATATCATTTTAAATTATTGAAAAATTCATACAATTTGATATTATATTATATTTGATTAATATTTAAAATTTTAATATTTCTATACATACATTTGATTAGAGTTTATAATAATAATCCAAAGTTTTTCTTTCATTTTTAAACACATTTACTGCCAAGCAATGTAATTCAATTTGTATTTTCGTTATAAATAATAAAGAATAGCAAATATTTTTAAATATTACACAAAAAATTACTATAAAATTCAATATAAATTATAATTATGTAATGATATATAATTTTGATTTTTTGTAAGCTTTTTATTTAGATTACGGTGACTTAATTTCAAATAAATCTTATAATTTTTTTAATTTGTCATTTTTAAATTACCATTTTTATACATGCATTATTTAAATTAATTCAACATTTTTTATTTCTAGAAAATTATTAAAACCAGAATATACTAAAAAATATAATAATGAAATCTATAAATATGTATTATCAATGTGTTCTTGTATATAAAAGTATCAAAAAATAACATAACATAGAAAGTGTTTGAATGTAAATATATTATGTACTAAAAATAAAAGAACAGAAAAGCAATTCAAGTATTTTATATCAATGTACACAATTTGGTATTCTAATCTTAATTAACTTCAGAGTTCGAATTTTAAATAAAGTACTGCTATTTGTTACTATTATAAGAAAATGTTCTTTATACAGATATAATATAATGAAAGGTGTAATTTAATTTTTTTTTTAAGAAATTCAATATATTTTAATATATTTCAGAAGCTTCAGTTAAATTACAAATTCTCGCAATTATTTATACATAAACATAATAGTAATCATGAATTTACTAAATTAGTAATTCAACGAATTACCATAAAAATAGAATTATTTCTTGGAAATCGACGTTTCTTCTAAGTTACTGTTTTTTTTTAAATTAAGTATCATATTTAGTAACAATTTAAAAATGGTTGATTCATATTGTTTTCATATATTGTTTAATGTATGACTTATGATTTATAAAATTTATACGATAAGTTTAATCAACTTTCAAATTTATTTCAATACATAAATAACAAAATTAATATGTGAAATAATTTAGCTGTTTAGAAACCTTTAAATTTCATCAGTGTACAAAAAGTAACTAATTTACTATGTAGTATTTAAGTTGAGTTTCGTCGTGCACGTGCATTTTATCACGTTTTTTAATCTTTTAATATCATGAAGAATAACAAATAATGTAAGGACGGAGCATGAATACATTTTTTAAATAGTGGCAATCACTTTGCCTGATATATTACATTAAAACTCCGATAAGACAATGAAAGAAAAAACGAATTTTAAAGTGTCAACGATTATTGAAAATTGTACTCTCGCATAATATGTAAAATGTATTTTAAAATAAATAATTATATTATCGAAATCTTATTGTTATCACTAGCTACAAAAAGCAATGCATTTTTTAAATATCATTTTTCGGTACTTAATAATAATAGTTTATTATTTTTAAAACTTAATGAAAATTATTAATAAAAATTTCGTATATTTTTATCGGCATATTTAAAATAGTACTATATTTAATTTTATATAATAATTTGAAAATAAGTGATTTATACAATCTTTAGAATGATACGTATTAAAAAATTGTACTTTTCAAATTTTAAATTATAAAATTTTATTTTTGGATTAGCTTATTTGCTTATAAATTATTTTAATTAAATTTCTAATAAAATGTTTCTTCATTTTTGTCTATTAATTAATATGTCTTGAAAATTATTTTGAACTTTTTTGAATTACCTTTAATTATCTTGCTTAAAGAATAATTAAATTATACACATCTCTAGACATACACATTCGTATCTGCCACAAGAAAAATATGCAGATATATAGAGAGAGAGAGAGGGTCGTCAGAGAGCGAGAGAGAAAATGAAACAGAAAGAGCATAATTTAATGTATAGATAAATGAGTGCAGTGTCTTTGTTTGTAAAATACTAAGCAAAACTTCTAAAACATCAATGTTCAACAATATGTTATCATTCTTTTTATAAATCTATTGTATAAATAATAACTTATAATATTATGATTAATAATTATTATACATCAATAATATATAATTGCACCATTCGTTACCTCATTTGTGAAATATTTATATTATTAATGTAATATAAAACAATTTTGTATGTATTCTAGGAAGTCTAATTTTCTATCTTAAGTTTCTGAGAATAATCATGTTTCGTACAAAGTTCCCAGATCATTATGAATACTTATCCATATATAAATGCATGAATCATATGCTTTTTAATCAACCTCTTAATTATATATATTATATTATTTTATATCAGTATCTCTCTTTCATTCTTTCTTTTCTCTGTATACTTACCCTATTTATTAAAATCTTTTTCTCCCGTTTTATATTTTTATTATTACTTTATATTAAAATTATTATTTGTGCTTTACTAAGTAAATGATAATTATCGTTAATAGTACGTCAAAGCTTTTTTCTATTAGATTACTAAATTAATATAAATTCTAAATTAATACTCAATTAATATTACTAAATTAATATATCTACTAAATAAATAACTTCTAAATAAATCATGAATATATCTATTAATGTTTTTACAATTTAGACTTTGAACTATGATCTTTATACTTTTTAAATTGGATGTACATAAAATGAAACTTTGTTTTAATAAATGCTACTCAAGCGTGAAATTATTATCGATATAAAAGTATCAAGTTTAAATTATATTTAACTTTACGAAACAGAATAAATAAATATACAATATATATTTATGTATTATACTATAATTTAAAAATTTAGAAAAGGAATTTTTTTAATATAACGCTTTAGTATTTAAAATTATTTAAACATATTATAAATAGTTTAACAAATTTTTATTCAAATAATATCTATTAACATCTTTTAAACTCAAATTAATTAAGCTACTATTTTAATGACTTTCTTCTATAGGACAAGCTCCTATGAAGTCTAAGCTATTCTATTTTACCGACGGATCTAATTATCTACGTAGATATGTCAGATTAGATGAGGTCTGTCGCACGTGACTAATGACTAATGTACAACTGTTTTGAGTTATATAGGCATTATTTGGTCAACAAATGTAATAGGAATACCAATTGATCATCTACTAAAACTTTTGTTATTCTATATATTATTTAATTTATTCGATAATCATTAATTCTATTTATTAAAACTTATTGAAAAAATAAATCGTAATCATGTTTACAATAAAAAGAATACAAGCTCGCTTTTCTTTATTATTTCTAATAAGTAATTGTAAAGAAACTTACAATATAGAATTTAGTACGAAAAATTTGACCTTTTGAATAATTTTGATAAAAAAATGTTTTTGAAAATGCACGTATAGAAAATACACATTGTAAAAATTAATGTTTTATTATGTTATTTGACACATATTGTTTGGTACGTAATACATATGTAGTAAAAGCATAGCGATCTAATAAAAAATTATTAAAATATAATATTAATGATTAAATAATAAAAAATAATTATTATACTTTAAACTTAAACTTTGCATAGACTCATAACTCTCTAAAATAAATAACTTAACGATATAATTGATATTAAGAGATAATATATACCAATTAAAATTAAAAAAAAAATTTTTAATATTTTATATTTATACGATTTTTAAAAATAAGATTCTTAAATTATTATCTAAATAAAAAATAAATATTTAGATAAATCGTAAAAACCTATCTCTATTCTAATAGTAAGTTGAATTTGAAAATTCATATTTAAATTTTTAATTAGTTAATGCACACTTATTGGATGTTTTATTGCGGATGCTTAAGAAATAGCAGTTTCGAAAAGACGAAATTAATAATTAAAAATACTTTGAACATGTGATAATGTACTTGTGTACAATAAAAGCCTTGTAATAAATACAAAGATTCCTCTTGTTGATTGATTTTAAATGATATTCTACAGAATTCTAAAATTTTTGTTTTTAATTATAAATTATTCAATTTATTGGAGTGATATCATATTTTATAATATTTAATATTGTAATATAACGCTTATTTTATCAAAATAAGATCTATAATTAGTTAATAAGTGATTGAGCATACACCTATATATTATATAACCATGTCTTGAATGAATTAAAAATGTAACAACATGGGAGTATCCGCTGTAATTATTATTGAATGATATTATTAAAATGTATTCTATTATTAGTTCTTATAATTATATAAATATTTTCTAAACTTTTAAGTAATTTGTTCGAAAGTTTATTATTTACTCTTAGAATTTAAAAATTAATAGAATCATAATTTATAAATTAAACTTCAAATAACAGATGTAATCGTTTAATTAATAATTAAATATAAACATATAGTTAAATATTTAAATAATAGTAGCTGTATTTGCTAAAAAAAAGAAATTAAAATTCTTATTACAGATGTTAAAACAATCCTTAAATCTGTAAGTGGGCGATTGAGATCTGGCGAGTTGACCGCTATTATGGGACCGTCAGGTGCTGGAAAATCAACTTTGCTCAACATCCTCACAGGATATAAGTAAGTAAACAATTTATTTTTTGATACTTAAGAAATATCTATATTGATTGCAACTTTCTTGAATAGCAAAACATTGAAAATTCTAATTTTATTCTCTTTTCTTTGATAACTTTTACGGTGAATGAGTGATATTTGTGTCAGTAGAACGGGTCCGCCTTATCTAACAGTGCCGTGGTGATAAATTTATAGAATTCATATTAATTTGCGATGTATAGCAGATATGAAACTTGGTTTTAAAAAGTTATTTTATTTGATGTATACATATATTTTTAAATTATGTAATATTTGAATTTTTTTCATTAAATAAATTAAATAATAAATTAATCATTTAAATAGAAAGGTTTGAATAATCAATATGATATATTTGAAAATATGAAAAATGACTAAATTGATTATATTCTTGAATGATAGAAAAAATTAAGAATAATATACTTCTTAAACTATAATAATTAAACTTAGGTAAATAGTGGATAAATAAAATGGATTTATATAAAATACGAAAAATTATACTACTTTCATAATATTAGTTTTTTTTTTATCTCATAAGTAAATCTTACTAATGTTTTAATTTAATTATAAAAAAAATCATGCAATTACAGAAAAATTTAAATGTTTTATCTTTCTTTTCAAACTATGAAATAAAACTATACAAACGAAGTATAATGAAAATTGCAATTACAATTTTTCATGTAATTTATAATCATACACTTTATAATTCATTTTATATTATATTTTGAACTTTATTTAATGTTTGAATACATTAATTGTAATATTTTATTAAGGGATAATATATTATTATTTAACAATAATCTATTGATACATTAAAAAATGGATAAATTGAATATATTTAAAATGTATATACATTTTCATTCTATAATAGATAACTGTAATAATTCAATATTATCTGAAAAGATTCATGAAAATATTTAATGTCAGTAACTTTTAGTTTATGAATTTATATAACACAGTACTTTGTTACATTTATGAACTCATTTAAAAATTATTTCATATTAAATTGATTAATGAGTATAGTTTTATTTATAATTTTTCAAAATATTTGTTTAACAGATTATTCTGAATAAATTTTACAATGTAACTCCTAGGAAATACTAGTAAAATTTTTTTATATTTGCAAACAAATTTTTAGAAAGTTAAAAGTAATTTCACTTTTTTGTGAACGATGAGGCCTGCCTTTCTCTTTAACTGATTTCAATAATTATTTTTTCGAAAACAAAATTGAATATCACATTTAATTACAGATGATTCCATTGGTAAACATTATTGCAGCTTTTCATAGTAAAAACCTGACATACTTTGTCCTATATACTTGTAACATAAGTATATTATAATGTATGTTATAATATTATTTTTTTAATATTAAATTATTCAATGATATCTCTTTAAAAACTTTACTTGTCTTCAATTTATTTTCATAATTTCGCAAAATTAGGTAATTGTTTATATCCTATCTATGTTATATTATTCAGTTTTTTTATTACGCAATTTGAATAGTAAATATCAAGTTGCATATAAATTAAAGTTCGAGATTTTCCATTGTTAAAACAATAAAAATATAAATTTGTAGTAGATATTTATTATTTATATTATTAATATATACAAAAAAATTTTCACAATTTTTATTTTAAATAGCATTTGCAGGTTATAAAAAAAATTGAATTTGCTTTTGATTGAATTTTTTATGCAGACTATATCATAATATTTTTTTGAGCTACATGTAATAAAAATAGAAATGTTTTTATTTAATTTCGAGGGAAAAAATTATATAAATAGTACAGTTTCATATAAAAAGTTAAAAAAAGTGGGAAATATTTCATGACATTTTGTATAAAGAGGAAAATATTCATAAAATGTCGTTATAGTATTCAAGAAATTATTATTTTAATGTAGTCATAATTTTGTTAGAAATAAGAACGACTTATTTTTCTATTTTCCTACTTTTGCAAGACTTATTTTATATATGTGCAATTTTACATCTCATAATATTGTTTAATATTTTAAATGAATTGGTTCATAAATTTTTTCATAATTTATTCACTGTAAGAGTGAGTAATTATAAAAAATACTCAAATTTTTTAATTTCCTTTATGTTTCAAATTCATTTCAACTGTTTTTGTTACAATTATTTAATATATCTTAGCAAAAATCTTAATAATTAGATTAATGTCTTGTATAACTAAATTTCAATTATTGGTTATTATATTTTTATTTTCTATTTTCTTTTATTTACTTTTGTCTTGTCTTCTTTTTTTTTATAAATCTTTATGTTACCAACTAATATCTAAATTTGCAACTCAGAAAATCTATTTTTTATAAAATGATTAATATTTCATTAATATTAATATTAATAAATTGCATATAAGTTGGAATTGAAAGTTAACACTAATGTATCATAAATATTAGATGGTAAACATTTTTCAAAGTTTTAACAACAATTAAAAAAGTAAGAGTTAACATTTATTTCAGAAACTTTTTATATGTATATACATATACTAATTAATTTTTGTCAATTTCAATTTTGAAAAAACACTTGATTTTAGTTAAACTTTTTATTTAAATTGAATACTCCAGATTTTATGACAACATTAACATTAATAATTACGTTTCATTATGCCAGGGTCAATTTGATGTCAAGGCACTTAATGTATCAGTCTTTCTTTATTCGTACCACCCTCCCTCTTTCTTCTCACTCCCTCATTATCTCTCGTTCATTCTTGTCTCTTTCTCGGTGTGCATCTCATTATATCTTTTAAAATAAAGTAATTTTGAAAATGGATACGTTCTTCAAATTGTCTATTTATATTTACTTTTTAGTTATAGTTTTTATAATTTTATTTATTGCCAAGAACCAATGTACACATTTATACCTAATGTATATATAAAAAACAATTAACTGTATCACACCGGTGTTTTCTTTTGTTATTGCGAAATTTATACTATAATACAATATTTTCAATTCGTTATTAAATTTTATTAACGTTACAATTCTTAATTAAAAAAATCTAATTATAAATTAGCTCTCTATTTGTATCTATTTTCAGCAATATTTTAGAATAAATTAAAAATCAGATAATTTTCTTACTATTTTATACTATAGCGAAACATTATCTTTGCTGTTAAAAACATTCATTTTATTCAAAAAACTGAAAAATTTACTACAAAAAGTATTTAATATCAATATATGAAGTAATTTTTTTCTTTTTTCACCTTTTTCAGGTTAAAGTTATCTATTATGAAATAAGTTTTTATATGTCATTTTAGCTAAATATATATTTTTAAAGTAAATTGCGGCTTTAATTTGAATTGAAATTTAATAATATATTATTAGAGCACCAGAATTGAATTTCAATAAATAAGAATGCTTTTATGATCAAATTAATGCGAACAACTAGTTAAGTTTGGGCATTGTTCATATTATAGCAAAAACTTATTAGAGTTGCTAATTTAATAATAAATTAACAAAACGATACGTATATAATATATATATATATATATATATATATATATATATATTTAAAATATTTTAACGAATTTAAAAAGAAAAAGTAAATTTATTATTAAAATGTTTTATTTTTAATCAACTGTGATTATAGGTACAAAATTGTTGTAACATTGACAATATATAACGTTAGGTGTGTTAAACATAACAATCAGTTAATAGAAAATGATGAATAGTATAAATATTTAATGTTCAACTTATTTTTTTAAATTTTATCAGAACAATTTTCAATTTCTGTTAATGAAATTCAAAGACATAATTTCATATAATATTTTATAAGAATGTTCATATTAAAATTTTGGCTACGCTATAATTTAATTGAAAAATTTAACATCGATTTGTATATACCTTGTATTTAATAAATTTTATTATAATTAATCAACATAAATTTATTAACATAAATAAAATAGATATCATTTTTAATGTTTTGAATATTCTGTAATCTAAAAGAATATACATCCAAAAAGTTTTTTTGGTTGCAGCTTTTAATTAAAATTTTATAAGACGAAGAATGGATTAAAAAAAAGTTAATTATCATTGTTATTATTTTTTATTATATTTACATGTTATTCATAAGTTTCAATACCTTATATTAAATAAATAAACTAAATAAAAATATGAAAATCGATGAGTTTAATAACATTAACCATTTATAGAACTACTGGAATGGAAGGAAGCATCACAATGAATGGACACGAAAGGAATTTAAGTGCCTTTAGAAAACTCTCTTGCTATATCATGCAAGATAATCAACTCCACGGTAATTTGACTGTTCAAGAAGCGATGAAAGTCGCTGCAAATCTCAAACTTGGAAGACATGTAAATAAAGCTGAGAAAGAAGAAGTGGTATGACATACCTCCAAATTTCATTCAGTATTTATTTATTTTTAAGCTAATGTATATGTAAATCCGAATTACAATATATATTTATTATGTTATTCAATATTTTATTATAGTTTATTGGTTTTATTTGTATAAAACAGTAATACGTTATTGGATAGTAAAATTAATAAATAACTATTTAAAAAATGATATTTACTTAAATTTCAACACTATTCCTTAGTAAAAATTTTCATTTTATTATCTGTTTAATTTTTTAATTATTGTTCATTCATGAGTTATATAATTTGTTTTGTTTTTTCTGAATTTATCGACATTTTTATTTCAATGCTAAATTAGTTCATAATTAAAATAATATTTTTTTTAAAATATCTTTTAATATTGATCTTTTTTATTCTAATCCATATATTTAAAATAATTGTCGAAAAATTACTTATTACTTATAATAAATATAATTAAATTAATAAAGAAATTATTTTTTTAATTATAGTAGATATTTCATCCTATAATTTACTTTTTATTATATATATAATATTACTTTGAACTTCTCTTATTCATGTCCCAAAGAAAAAATGTTAATTTTAACATATTAAAATTACAGTAATAGCAAATTAATTACAATAATAGTGAAGGATATACATTGATATTATTTACCAAGTTTTTTTATTACTTAATTTATAAACTACCTTTTTCCTTAATATTTCATATACGTAATACGTAACGATTGATCGCAGTTTCATTAAGAATAGCATAATAAATTTTTAATTATCTATATACAATCAATGAATAATATTTTAGTACTCTACATGGTTAATAAATACTAACAAGTAGCTGATTATTGTTGCAAATATTGCTTACTCTACTTCGATTTTATGATATCATTTAAAAGTAAATTCATTAATTAAAATACTACTTTATTGTTAAGAAGAATTATTTATTTTGCATGTATAGATTCAAGAAATTCTTGAGACACTTGGCCTTGCGGAACATCGAAAAACCATGACCTCAAATCTCAGCGGTGGTCAAAAAAAACGATTATCCATTGCTCTTGAGCTTGTCAATAATCCACCTATCATGTTCTTCGATGAGCCTACAAGGTAATTCATTTATTTTAGTAATGTAATACAAGTTGATTTAATTTTATCATTAAACCACATAAAAATTTTAAATATTTAATTATTTAATTACAAGAATATTGATTCATATATGTTTAACAACCTAATATTTCCTCTGCATCGGTAATTTAACATTTTATTATCAACTTTGTAAAGTATATACAATTCATAAATATAGTCAATGCTAAATATTAATTTTTTGTTGCGTCCTGGACATCATTACGATGTGTACGTGGTTGGGACCGCGAATACTATCGATAAAGATCATATTCAAGAAATCTTACGTAAATACATAAAAAGATTTAAGTAATGTTAGCACGCACATGTATGCGCGTGCATAAATATGACGGCATATGTTGTATACTTTCGTATAAATATGAATAGATATGGAGTTGCATCTGATGAAGGCTATTTTTAATTATTCAACAAGTTTTATGCCATCTACTTAAAGAACATCTTAATAAATTGAATTTTTTTAATTGTAATTGTGTAATAAATAGATGCAAAAGTTAATTTGATATTGAATTTTATCATTTAAAATCATCGATAACATATTTATAGCGATCAAAGCGAACTTCATATATTAAAATTTTTTTTATTATTTTAAGTGAATTTATTTCCTTGAATAATATTATTTCATACAATTATAATAAAGAGTTAATCCAAAAAATAAAATACTCCTTTTCAGTGAATTCTATTTCCTTGTTTTTTAATAATATAACTTAATAGTTACAAACATAAATTATATTATATTATATTTTCGCTCTTACTTGAAATTCATTGTACGCTTATATAATAAAAGACATTTTATACATACGTATAAAGTAAAAAATTATAAAAAATATGTTCATATTTATAAAAATTATAATTTGTCAATAGTTTTCATCAAATATTATAGTGTTCTAAAAATTATTAAGTCATTTTTTATAATAAGTCGCGGGTTCACACTTATTAATATAGCATTTGCATAGTTGTGTATATTAATATATAGTTTTAAGATTTATGTTAATGTACGTTACAATATGAGAGAAATAATAATATAAATTGTAATAGTTAACAATACAAGGAGTTATTGCTAATATATACTAAGTATTTTATTTTTCATGATTTTTGAAAATCAAAGTTAGAAATGTATATAACTTTATGAGAATTTTAAGTTATTCGAACCGGTTTCTCCGCGTCGTCGATGATTTCTTTATTTCCTTTTTCTGATCACTACTTGATATTTTAATTTAATTTTTTCTTATAATTTAATGACATTTTTAATACGGCATTCAATTAATGTATACTTTACCAAAAGTATAAAAGAAAATACTAGAAATATATCATTCTGTATTTATTACGCGAGAATGTGAACTGAAATGTCCTTAACTTTAAAAATAATAAAAGATATGTACAACTGAAAAATTGAAATATTTTTTATAAGATTAAAATTTTAATAATAAACACTTTAATTAAATATTTTTACAATACATATATATATATAGTAAATATTATATTCTTTTATATGTAAACATGAAATTAATTTATATTTAATTTTAAATAAAAAAAGAGGATAGACAAATACATGTAATAACATGCATAAAGATAATTCTACTTCGATTAAGGTAAACTTGGAATATTGGATGCAAAATCTATGATCACTGTATTAAACTTGTGCTATTTTAACGATAAATATTTTAGTTTTATATTTGAAGAAAAATCGATTATGAAATTGAGTAGATAAAAAATTATATATTTATATGAATTTATGGAATATAAATAATTAACAAAATAATTCAAAATTGTTTTCAGTGGCTTGGACTCGTCGTCTTGCTTCCAGTGTATTTCATTACTAAAAACACTTGCACGTGGTGGTCGTACAATTATCTGCACAATTCATCAACCTAGTGCTCGACTTTTCGAGATGTTCGATGCTCTCTATACTCTAGCCGAAGGTCAATGCGTATACCAGGGATCAACATCACAGCTTGTCCCCTTCCTTTGTTCACTAGGACTTAACTGCCCTAGCTATCACAATCCTGCCTCTTTTAGTAAGTTTTAAAGTAATGTTATTTTAAAAGAAATGTCTGATAAGATTTTTTACAAATAAATAATAATTAGTTAATTAAATTAATGTATTTAACAATAATAGAGTTTTTACAAAAATATTTAATATTATGTTGTTCGTATAAAATTATTTTTCATTAAGTTAAATTTTACAAGGATAACATAATATTAAGTTATTGTAATTTATTATTGTAACTCATTTATTAATACAATGAATGTTATAAGTTAAATTTATAAATTTAATCTAAGAAAGTTTGAATAAAAGTAAAAGATGATTTAAATAAATTGTACAATATGCTCTTTCAGTAATTGAAATATCTTGTGGTGAATACGGAGACAACATAAAGAATTTGGTAAACGCAATCAGCAATGGAAAGCATGATGTGCGTGAGGGTTACCCTTTCCCGGAAAAAGAGACGCTAAATAATTCGAATTTAAAGGACGGAGAAATACCGTCCGATAGTAATAATGCTAAGGATAGAAATGACGCAAACAGCATCGAGAACAAATTCTCCGACAATAAGATTCATGAAAAGAGCAATGGTGGCATCATACCAAGTTATGCTAAAAATGACATTATCAAACAAAGTAATTGTATTAAAACATTATTTTGAAAACAATAATAATACATATAAATATAAGATTTAATTTAAATATTCAAATAAATCTTCGTTCCTGAATAATTATAGAGTTTATAAAGAACTAATTGTGATTTAATGTATTCATACGAAAAATGAAAATTTAATAATTACATTTTTTCATGTCAAAGCATTGTAAATATGCTAATCACTACTACCTTTCTCGTATAATAGACATTAGGATAAATAAAGTTTATTATTGATAGATGAAGTCGCAATCCTGATGGACAATGACAAGAAAGACAATGTAACTACTTCTCTACTCGACGAAACCTTAGAAGCAACACCAGAAAGATATCCTACATCAGAATTCACTCAATTTTGGATTGTTTTAAAAAGAACACTACTTTTTAGTAGAAGGGATTGGGTAAATAGAAAAGACAATATAGATAATATACCTTAAGACATAATTTCAATAGATTAATAGGTTTTCAATTTTATTTTAGACTCTGATGTATCTTCGATTATTTGCTCATATTCTTGTAGGTTTTTTGATAGGTGCATTGTACTATGACATCGGAGATGATGCTACTAAAGTTTTAAGCAATCTTGGATTTTTGTTCTTCAATATGCTGTTCCTTATGTACACTTCTATGACAATTACAATTCTATCCTGTAAGTTAATATTAATGGCCTGCCATTATGTTGAATAATAATGTATTTTATGAATTTCTATTAATTTAATTACTTTTATATTTATTTTTAGTTCCGTTGGAAATGCCAGTTTTATTAAAGGAAAGCTTTAACAGATGGTATTCATTGAAATCATATTATTTAGCTATAACGGTTTCTGACATTCCATTTCAGGTAAAATTTATTTCTTTTAAATATTTTATATAATAAGTGATTAATTAATATGTATGAGAAGAAAATTAAAAATTTTTTTTAATTAAGATTAAATAATATTTTGTAGGCAATTTTCTGTATTTTATACGTAACGATTGTGTATTTTTTGACGAGTCAACCGCCAGAAATCTTTCGATTCAGTATGTTTTTGGGAACGTGCCTTCTAATATCTTTTGTAGCACAGTCTGTTGGCTTGGTAGTTGGTGCAGCTATGAATGTACAAAATGGAGTGTTTTTAGCCCCCGTCATGTCTGTTCCATTTTTGTTGTTTTCGGGATTCTTCGTCAGCTTCGATGCCATACCTGTTTATTTAAGATGGATCACTTATCTTAGTTATATTCGTTATGGATTTGAGGGTACTGCCTTGGCCACTTATTCCTTCGCACGTAATAAACTAAAATGTTTACAGGTGATTAATTTTGTTAACAAGAAATTATTCATAATCGGTTGTATATCATTTTTCTATTATTCGTTTTACGAATTTAATTAAAAAATTTAACTAACCAATTTTTAATTCCTTAATTTATAATTTACATTTATTTCATAAATTATATATTTAACATATTCAACTATTTAATTGAATATTATAAACATTATGATGCTTATAAATTATGATCTAAAATCTTATCAATTATGATTTAAAAGATTGCATTTTAGAAGTAATGAAGCTATATCTTTAATTTCTTATATATATTAACTCCTTTTACTCGATTACAGGAATATTGTCATTTTAAAAAACCGACTGAAACTCTAGAGGAACTCGACATGGAAAATGCTGATTTTACACTTGACATTCTAGCTCTTTTATTAATCTTTCTTGTACTTCGGATCGCAGCTTATATGTTCCTTCGTTGGAAATTGAAATCATCACGATAAGTTATAGATTAATTAGACTTTTTTGGGCAAACACTGAAAATATAAAAATAGTAGCATTGTCGTGCTACTCATATAAAAACAAATACCAATAATTAATAACCTTTAAATAACAAAAAATCTTTTACTGCTCCGAGAATTAGTAAATGCTCTCTTTTTTCTTACCTTAAAATATAGATATACGCAGATACATGTACATGATGAGAGTGCAAATGAAAACTACTTGTAAAAACAACAGAATATGTTGATATTTGACTGTATTGAGTAGTAATTTAGAATACAACTTTACTCTTTTAATGTAAAGTTCTAATTTACTTCCAATAGAAACGATTTCTTTTATAAAAAAAAATTCAAGCTAATTCAACTATTATAATTTATTGATATATTTTTCATAAGATATATATTGTAACGTGTGATCATTATTCAGGGTACTTTTGTTTCTTTTTGTTTTTAAATACTGCTTGGAATATTTTATACGATTGATAATCATGCTTTTTGAGCAAAGTTATTAAAAGATATGTAATATCCGAATATAATACGAATAAACAATATAGAAGACGAACTTTGCTATTACTATTTCACTTCTTTCTGTAATGAAAAATACTATGACAATTATTATTTTACAAATCATTTTATACATATAGCGCATATTAAATGAGAAAATAAAATGTTAGAGTTTTTTGTCCTTAAGTGGCTGTGAGCATACGTGTTAATGAAAACGAATAAAAAAATAATCGAAACTACCTATTTTATGGTATGACAATAAAAAATATAGCCACAGCATGAGACTTCTTGCCAGGACTATTTATAGACATTGGAAAACCAAATATTTACTAACATTATTTGTAATAAAAATGCAGGCAGGTGACACTAATGTGCAAAAAAAACTCGTCCTTGAATGTCGGTAAATTAAAACAAAATAATGCATTGAGTAATGAGAAAATAATTGAGTATACATATGTGCGAAAAAAAGACTTTGTAAAACTTGCATGTAAGTATACCAACTAAACTATGTAAAGTAAATCCGAATGGTGACATGGAGGCCTTCAATGCTTTATCTAATCTATTTTATACAAATGTATTTTTTGCGTTATTGTAATATTCTAGCATATATTTGTAATAGATTTCTAATATATATATATATATATATATATATATATATATGTTATAGAATTAAATTTGTTATATAAATAAAAAACAATTTTTTTAAATTTTAGTATTTGTTTTAATTATCATAAATGTTACGTTTATATTATTGTGTTTTAGTGGATAAGATATCGATAATGTATGAATATTTGTTTTAAATTTTGAAAATGAGTATTTAAAGTGTGAGTGATAAATTATATTATTGCTGGTTAAACTGTTTTCATATTTTAAAAATGTTAACACTATTGATGAGTAAAATAACTATCACATTGATTAGTACATTGTTAAATAACCGAAAATCGTTCATTTGTTTTATAATAAACATTTTTTACACTAATATTGTTATTCTATTTACTCAATTTCTAGTATAATGAAATTCTGATAGAAATTTTCAAAATTGAAAAAAATTTATTATCTTAAAATAAATAATAGATCATAATAAAGAATAATTTTAATATGCAATAAAAAGAATTTAATATAAGAAGAGATGATAAGAATTTTTGATAAAATACAAAGTAACTTACAATCCATAATTATATACAATTGAATTGGTAAAATATAAATTTTATTATACATATAGTTACATAGAAGTATGTTATTTAATATGTCAATAGTAGCAGTGATAATAAACTTGATATACATTAAATTTGATAGCTAATAAATAATTTACACATATAAGTGATTGGTTTCGTCGGTAAATAATTCAAAATTCATACCCATAAATCACATTTTTTATGAATATTTAATTGCCTTTAATTTAAAACTTTAATAATGTAAAATTATCAAAATTTTGATACCGTATATCAAAATCTGATAAAAATTATAAAAAGTTTATTTTACAATAATATTTTAATATAAAGTTTTTAAATGTAATATCTAATATTTTCTTTATTTTTATTAATCGAGAAATATGATTGAATTTATATTTGATATCTAAATAACGTATATCACAAAATATTTTTAATAATTTTTTTGCTTATATAATTAGAAATACTTATAGAAATCATATAAAAGTTTCTACAATTGCAAATTAAACTGTTTTTAATAAAATTTGCAAAAATAATACTCCCGCTAATATTTCTTATTATATGAATTAATATGAATTATTAAACAAAAATTTTATTATTAAATAAGGATATTTAAATATTGTATCTTATAAAAAAGCATAATTATATATTAATTTCAAAAGACATTACAAAAAACTCAAACACATTAAGTACATATAGAATTTGTTTTCTATTCTATGTACGTTTGATTAATAAATTTATTTATGTGTTATTGTACATGTTACTTAAAAAATAAATTTATAATGATACTTATATTTTTCAATATAATGTGCATATGTAAAGATAATATACTGAATAATTACAATATTAAATAAAGAGATAGAAATGTGCTCGTTTTCTTATTTCTAGTATTTATTTTTCAATATTCAATCAATTTTTTATTTATTTTCAAAATTGAAAATTTATGAAAATTGTAAGTGTTTATTAAATTACACACAGTGACGTAACTGATTTAATCAGTTTAGCATGCGAATTTTATACTATTTTGACTAATTATTTAAATAAAAACTAAACGCCAAGCAATTTATTAAATATAATAACCCATATTTAATATCTTTACATGGCTTACAATATTTTTCTTAACACGCAATTCAAATTCTTTTAATATTGAATTTATAATCTCGAACTCAAATATATTTATTAAAAGATACAAGTAATGTAAAAAAAGAATACCTTAAGAATAAAAGACGAAAAAAAATATAAAATGTGTAAAGATATTAAATTAACTTTGTACCATGAATGATGTATTATGAATTTTATAAAATTACTATCGAACGGTGCGTATCATTTACAGATATACTCAAAATTATATTAGAGTCTTTAATAAAAAATTAATTATTTTATATAATAATGACTTGCATACATATTATTTATATGTTTTATAAAATTAATGAAATAATAATTTATTAATTATCAATAAAAAAAGAAATATTTAAATTATTTTATTAATTATTTATTTAAATACTTTTTTACTATATATTTAACTGAAAAAATGAAGAATACAAAAATTTTTAAATTATAAATAATTGATTATATGATAAAACGGACGATAAATTGATAAGTATAAAATTCAAGTCATATATATATTTAAACTTACATTATTATCATAAAATAAGTTACTAACATGATGATAGAAGTTTCACTTTAATTTTTATAATAAATTATTTTGAAATATGAATCGTTCATTAAATAAATTATGAATCACAAATATAATTAAAACTTAAGAAACGCATTGTGGCTGTCAATAATATCTTTAGTCTGTGTAATAATGAATTTTTCCAATCAATTTATAAACATTAAAGAAAAATGAAAATTTGTATTAATACTGATTATCGCTTAAAAATTTGTAATAAATAAATTCATTAATGAGATAAATAAAATAATAAAGATTGACTATAATAATAGATATATATTTTATTAGAAGTTTAAAAAAGAATTGTAATGAATTTATATTTCTCAAGCTATATATTTATGCTATTCTAAAATATACTGGATTAATTTTTTTATTGTAAATGTGCTTAATCTTGTATGAATATTGAAAGTTTATTTGAACTCATACATATTTGTTTGTATAGACATACTTAGAGAATATACAAAATTTTTATTACTCTTCGAATTATAATCAAGATTTCAATAAATATAAAGTAAAGCAACTTAGGTAAAAAAAATTTATTTGTACAAAAAAGCTATGTATTAGCTAAAATATATGTACAAGCTAAAATATTTTCTCTGTGGTAGAGAAGAAAAGAAAAATAATTAAAGACATGATTGATTCATGATTAAAATTCTATAGTAGAAAATAATTTAATCGTACATTTATTAAATTTAATTTCTAGTTTAATATAATTCGATTAACTAAACAATATTTTTATATAGTTGAATAATATTCATGATAAATTATCTTCAATCAAATAATAACTGTGTAGTAATAAACGATATTTAGATAATAGATTATTTTATTCTTGTAATTCATACGCTCGCTTTTTATATTAATAAAAATCAAATATTTAATATAAATTAAAAATTTTCGAATAAGATGAGCTTTAAATATGAATATACATATATGTATGCATAAATATCTAAATTTACATAAAATTCGACGCAATAATTATCGAGAATATAATAAACCATAAGAAAAAAGATTACATATTCTACCTTTTATTTTGTTTTAATAGTCATGATATATTGCATTATTAACACACTGTAAATGCTCAATTATTTATTTTCAATTATTATTAAAGCAGTCAGCAAATGTATTTATAGTTGCTTACTATTAATCATTCATTTTTATGATGTAGATACAAATTTAGGATTAAATTATAATTTATAAATGCAATTCATATGTTGGTAGAACATTTTTCTAATTTTGAAATAATTATTATTTATAAATATTACTTATCAAAAAACTTATCAAAGAAGATTATATAAAAACTTTATGAATTGGTATAAGTAATTTTTCCCAAACTTTCATAATTGCAATTAATAAATTTTATTAGTTTTTTAATTATATAAATATCTATTTAATCTCCATTTATCTGAATGTCAAGTAAATGGTATCAGCGCAGAGAAAATAGCGAAATAATTTTCTATTTTAATAATTGAAATGCTTTAGCTTAAAGATTAAAAAATATAGAAGTCGAGTAAACTTGACTTCCAGCAGATGTACTATGCTATCACAAATACGTAAGATGTAAATGATACACAAAATGTAACATACTATATTCTTATTTGGTATAATGGTAGAACATGGATTGTGATAAACATATATTATATATTATAAGTAAAGAAATGAATCATTAAGGGCAAAAGAAAAAGTTACAAAATATTATATTTATTTTAATATATAAATTTAATTTCACTTACAAATAAATCAAAGTTTGCCTGTACTTCTTTGTGTTTAAGAAGAACGATTTTTCTCCATTAAATACAGATGATAATAAATTATTCGTTATTTATTTTTTCAGTATATTAAATATTTGTATAAAACTAGTAAATCCTCTTATTTATTATTATTTATTTATGTACGCGCCAGTCACGTTCTTTGTGATATTTAGCAGCACAGTTGTAAAAGTGAATTATTTATGGAATATGTCTTTATGGCAAAATAATATTTTATTTAAAAAAGCTAGATAGAAAAAAACTTAAAATTTCAATTTAATTATCTTATTATTTTGACATTAATTTACATAAAAGAATACGAATTAAAAAATATAATTGACTTGTATGTAATACTTAGAGCTGGTGTACGATAATACGTATTACATATTTATATAACTTTTCACAGATTTTATATTTTTTACATTAAAATTTGATAAATATAAAACAATGAAGTGTAGTTTATTAATAAA